GCAGAGCTTCACCATCGCGATGCAACGCAGAGACCTGCGCACCGCGAGGCTGCTGTAATGGAGCAGGGGCTCAACAGGGGGCTCCGACCGAGACCTCCACTGATCCCCCGGCTTCCCCCCCGGTGTGGGAGCGTGTATATGAGTCTGGGGAAGAGGAGGAGGAGGGAGGGAGGAGGCGAGAGGAGGAGGAGGAGAAGGGAGGGCTTCCACAAACACAGAGGAAGAGGTGGAAGAGGGAGGGGATGGAGAGCGGTTGTGCCGATGCAGCGTTATGGAGAAAGACCCTCGCGTAAAACAGACACCGGTGGAGCCATTGGCCCTGTGGAAAGTATGTAGACACACATTCTCTCATCCCACTATTACTCTCATTCCAGTTCCTCTCTTTCAGATACTTCTTATTAGATCTTGTGATCCGATGTGTCACCAACTCGCTCTCTCTCCTTCACACGTTCAGCGTTGTTCCCTCTTTCTTCCCACCGCTCACAACTGAAAATTGAGCTCTTCCCTTTCTTTATTCTGGGGTGTTGCTTTCTCCCTTTTTCCTGGTGCAGCCCCGTGACCAGGTGTGTGCTTTTGTGTCCCCCCCCCCCCCCCCCCCCCCACACACACACACACACACACACGAGTGGTGCAGTGGGGCTGCAGTACGTCTCATCACTTACCTCCGCCTGCCAGGAAAAACACAGTTAAGAGGTTAAGAACTTTACGTGGCTCATAGCTGGCATCCACACACACACACACACACACACACACACACACACACACACACGCACAGTATCTGAACGCTGAAGCCATTGATGGTAAACAGACAGTTTAAGTGAAATGGAAATCATTAAGATTTTTATGAGATACAGTCAACAATAGAACATCGAGACAATCTGCTTATTATATATATATATATATATATATATATATATATATATATATATATATATATATATAACTGCTGTGTCAAATGCAAAAATCTGAAAGAGGGAAAATGTAGCTGAGTGTCTGAGTATCCATTTGTTTCCCTTTGGGGTGAGCACTAGTGTTGGAATAACTGTCAGAATGCGTGTTTATTTTGTTTTTAAATCGGTCTCCACCTGAACATTCAAATATCACAGAGGTCTAAAAAATGAGCTCACTTCGGAGGTTATATTTCTTAATAGCGTTGCCATTTGTCTGATTAATAACAAGCAAAAGAATAAATAACAAGAATAATCACAAATAACCTGTATTACAACAGTGCCCCTTCTAATGTTTTCAAGTGGCATAAGATTGTGCGTGACTCAACAACGCTGAGTCACACACATTCAGGATGAAGCTCACAAACAATCCAATTCCCCCAATCCGATGGCTGGTCTCCCTGCTGGCTGAATGCACCGTATCAGAGACGCTCTCTGAATACTGAGCAGCGGGAATCACGAGGGAACTTAACTGAACACGAGCCAACACATAAACGGCGAGGCCCGCTAAAAGGATTTTTAGATTTAAGACCCTGCGATGCATCGCGTCCGCTGGCACGCTTCAGACGTGTCTCTGAGCTGATGAAAAACTTTCATTTCACTACATCGAAGCTAAACTAAATATGTCCACAGTGTGTCATTAACAGGCTCAACCTGCACTCCCGACAACGTGGTGCAGACGTGCAAAACATCGGCACACAACAGGTGATTCGTAACATATCCAGCAATAACAAACCCAAATAATCGATAGGTTTCCCGCCATTGACACAACAAGTTCTAATCAAATTGGATATACTGATGAAGATACAGCACAAAGGTTAAACCCTTTTTATAATTCATCAGTTATATTTTGATGATATGAAGCCACATGTTCATTTCTCAGCTTTTTGAAAAGGTCAATCAATATTCCTTCAGTAGAAGTGCAAACAGCTCATCTACGACAGATGAAGCTGCTGAAGTGAGAAAATACAAACAAGCTTATTAGTGAGACTCAAAGTGGCTGATTAAAACAATTGTTGTTCCTTTCATTTTTAGAAAATTTTCATTAATATTAATATATTATTACATTATTCCACAAAATATAAAGCAAAACAAACGGTCCGCTGCCTCTGTATCCTGAAGCTGATGTCCAGGGGGCTTTCTCTCCCACCTTTTTAATTACAACATATACACAACCAAGCACAGCACCCCCCGTTTGGTGTATTAATAGGTCTCTCTTTTATTATTTAAGGGTAAATTTGCAGCCGGGCGCTTGACATTGTGACGGGTTATTTTTCTTCTTCTCCTTTCGACTCGAACATCGGTTCGCTCTCCCCCAAATCACATCGCTGACCTTTTCTCACAGTGGCATCCAAAGACCAGTCAGCCAAACATGCCTCCGGCCAAATCAATAACTCCTCCCAGCCATCAGCAGCTTGGAAGACCTCTCGCCTCCTTCACTCCAGCTGTTTAATCCCAGTTGTGCCTCGTCGTCTATAGGATCTAAACACTTGTGACCTGTTGATTTCAACTTGATAGGGAAATGCTGCTCATTTCATGTTATCATTACTTATATTTGTCTAAGGGGGGGAAACAGTTCTCTCATTACAATTTAATCCTCAGACTGTCCCTTGTTCCGGTGGAGTTCAAATAAATGAATGCAGTCTTACAGCTCTGATTCACGAGTACAGCGTCCCGCTGCTTCCATGGGACGCCGTAATTATTCACTCTGATTCTCCCCGATAGATTCCCCCCACTCCCGGGGTCTCATAAGCAGTGCTCCCTCATGCGGAATCACCAAGAAGTAAAAGGCTCAGACTGCCCCCCCCCCGAGCTAATGGGATTGATCCCTAAACATCCTTCGATTTAATAATGGCGGTATTGCGCTGTGAAAACGGAAATGTGAGACTTCGTAAAGGATGTAGCTAGCAGACCAATCGCAGCACGGCTTGCGTAGCTTTTTGCCGCTAGTCTAGAAAATGGTTCGACGCACGCAAGGAGGTGTGAAAAGGCACGCAAGGGACACGCAAGGGACGCGCAAGGGACACGCAAGGGACACGCAAGGGACACGCAAGGGACACGCAAGGGACGCGCAAGGGACACGCAAGGGACGCGCAAGGGGCTCTTGCGTCTGCGTGTCCTTGTGTCTCTGTCTGTCTGAAAACGCAGAAGCATCAACTAGGCTTATGAATTATTTTAACCAATTGCTTTGTTGCAAAGTGTGATTAGTCTCGAGTTGTACGTAGCCGGGTGAAGTTGGGGCGGGGGGGGTTTTCGTGCTGCTAGATGGTCCGCACACAGGGTGAGCGCGTACTGTCACTTTACGTACATTTGGCACGAGTTCACGTGGGATTTGGAGCTGCAGAGCGGGACCTGGCGGCTACCGGCGACAACACAGTGTTAGCGGTTAGCATCGGAACAGCGCTAGGGAAACGCCTGTTCAGCGGGTCAGCGTAGGTGTTAGTAAACCTGACTCACCATGTCTATTTCGTTTAGAGGGGAGTAACAAGCTGCCGGGGGGTTGAGGTTGCACGGAGCCGTCAACTGACCACAACTGGTTGTATTTTCCATTCCGATGTCTCGGAGACCACTCGACTCTGGAATGGAATGGAATCTTCAAGGCCAAGTTCCATACAAATTAGATTAATCTGTTCATTGTGATTCTGACCACAGAACTGAGCACTGCGGATTTTTTTTGTGAGAGAATTCATCAGCGACGTTTGTCCTCAACAAGACTTAAGTAGCCTTTTGAAAGATATATCACCATTCTTCAAAGACCACATCGAGTCGTTAACCGGCAAACAAACAAACAGCCTTTTTCAAGGCTTCCAGCCTATTTACAGGGATCCCACCAGCCTTTTTAAAGATACCATCATTCTTTTTAAAGACTACACAAGTGTTATTTAACATGTACCGTGGAAACAACCAGAGAATTGGAGCTGGCGCTTCACTTCTCGGGACTCCCACCGGATACAAGGTGAACACTTTCTCGTGCCAAGAATGAAGTGCACTATAAAGGAAAGTGAGCGAACTCACCGCTCACACTGAAACTGTGAAGTACAGTTTGACCAACCTGTTAAAAGGCAAAGATCTTTCCTATGAGCAGAAGGTTGACAAGAACAGAAAGAAGTTTTCAGACCTCATCAGGGAGAACAAGGGTTTGTCTCTGAAGCTCACAGAGACCACCGAAAAATGCTGAGAGCTGATTCTCTGGCTGCTTTAAAAAAGAGCCAAGAGGATACCCACCACGAGATGGTCACGAGCAGTGGTTTCACTGAGTTGTGCCTGATCCAACAAACGGAGGATACCGGCGCCAAAGAACATCAGATCCTTATCACCAGGATCCAAGAATTAAAGGACGACAAAGAGTCCTTGAAAACATCTGCCTCGACTTTAAAAAAAAAGAAGAAAAAGAGGCATTTTTGGGAGACGGATGCAAGAACCGGCAGACGGAGATGGACAAAATGAGGCGCAAGATGCAGGACAAGGAGGCAAAGAAATAGGAGAGAGAAGAGAAGAAAAAGGAGATAATCCAGGACGTCAACATCAACGTGCCTGAGACTGGACACCTGTAAGAACACCTTCCTTCACCTCCCACTCCATCGTACCTCATCCTTCTACCCTAAAAAAAAGAATAAAAAAAACGCTAAAAAAAAAAGATCCCTGCTTTAAAACCTAACTCACAACTGGTCTGGTATATATGTGGCACGACTGGACAATGGACCTGAACCCAATTCCACGACTCCAGAGGCATGATTCATCATTCTGTTTTGAACAACATGTTCTAGTCTTAAGCACTACTATGTTGTACAATTATGCCGGGCTTAAACATAAAAGGGGAATTTGTCAAGGCTCATCAAATTATTTTAACCCTGAGTCAGTTTCCAATCCACACAATTAGTTCATACCAAGCAAGATCGTGTTAACAATCATGCATTCATCTGTATTTCCTTTAGTGTAATAATGTGTTTATAGACAGGAAGCAGCGCGCCTCAAAGCGAGGGGTTCTTTTTTATCCACTGGGGGGCAGTAGTGGGTTCTTTTTTATCCACTGGGGGGGCAGTAGTGGTTTATTTTATATCCACTGGGGGGCAGTAGTGTTTCTTTTTTACGGAAGCCACAGGAAGCAGAAGAAGAACGCTTTCCGCACAGAGGGAGCAAAGCAACTATGGCCGGTGACAAGGTCGGAGTTTTCAACTTTTCCTCACTAACTTTGCGTTGTTAGATATCGTTTGCGTTCCGGTTTTAATCAAACAGCCCTCGTATGTGACGGTGTGATCCACCTGTAACCAGTCAACGCAGACGCGCCAAGTAACAGAACATTCTGCAGGCTGTGGTGGCTGAATATTAATCAGATGTTTGTTAGCATTTAGGTTCACGCTAACTAAGCTAACCTTAAGTAACGTTATTGGGCTATTAACTCCCTATAAGCTAAGCTAACGTTAACATAATAAGGCATTAATCCAACGGCTAACGTTAGATTTGAATGGGGGACGTTTTAAACAACCGCACAATGCCGTCAAAAATACATTAATCTTTAAATAAACGGTCGGAAGAAAGAATAAATTGAATACTTAAGTTTGTTAACATTTAGCCGGTTAGCACCTGACGTTAGCCGAGCTGTCTTTGATAACACTCCTGACGTGATATGTGGAGGTGATTTAATGACCGTATCTAATCCTGTAACGTTGTGAATGAGGCAGATTACTTCGAACACTGTTCATCAACTAACTGTTTAGACTAAGTTTGTGTTTATAAATTGCAGATATAATTATGCGGTGGCCTTCAGGGTACGTCTCTTTAGCATAAGTTGTATATTTGTTTTCCACTTTAATGATCCGTTGTGCTGAGAGAAAAAAGTGTCCGGTTCTTTTTTCAGAGCGACATAAACCGATCTGAGAACGGCCAGTAGCGCCTCCTCCTCCATATGCAAATCCCATGTAAATAAGTATATTTTACGACCATGTGTTTTGCCCCTGAAGGCTCGAGCCATGTATGAAAATGTATTAGGTTTTTTTTCTTATTCAAAACACGTTTTCATGAGATCCAGAGGGAAAATACACTACTAATCATATTTATGTTGGTGGGAAATGGTGAAGCATGAACGACACGTTAGTCCCAGTGATCGCGTGTTCCGATCATATGAACGACACGTTAGTCCCAGTGATCGCGTGTTCCGATCATATGAACGACACGTTAGTTCCAGTGATCGCGTGTTCCGATCATATGAACGACGTGTCAGTCTCAGTGATCAGTATGTAGCACTCATGAACGCTTGTCAGTCTGATTCAATGCTTCACCATTTTTCACCAACATAAATAGGATTCATAGCAGTGTATTTGATCTCATGAAAATGTGTGTTTTGATAAAACTAAACGTACTACATTTTCCTACGTGGCATGGAGCCTTCAGTGGCAAAATACATAGTTGTAAAATGTACTTATTTAGATGGGCTTTGCATATGGGTGAGGAAGCGGGTCCATGCCGCTGCATGCCGTTCTGAGATCTAGTTTATTCACGTGTTTTAAGTCACAATTATCAGCATGCACAGCGTTTGTGTATATTTACCATTTTGTTTGTCACAATAAATCATGAGCAATGTTCTACGGCTTTTTAGATGTTTTTTTATTGTTTTATTTTTGAAAGCTTTGGGAGCTTAACTTTTGTATGTTTGTCTTCCTCTTATGCAGGGCCCCCTGGGCCAGCTCAAGGACCTGGTGGAGCTGAAAGACCAGCTAGAAGACATTCAGAGACGGATGGAGGATGAGATACAGGCTGGGGTTCCTCCGGTAAAGATCACACATCCACTAATATGTCCATGAACAGGTTAAATTTCTCACAGGCAAGGTAGTTATTAAACCGGAGTAGATATGAAACCTCCCAGTACCAGGTCTAACCTCTCCTCTCCATTTCTCCTTAGGGAGGCAGTGTGCTGGGTTCCCCTTTCCTGAAGGGTTTTCTCGCAGGGTACATTGTTGCAAGGTTTCGGTCTTCAGCTTTGTTGGGTGTTGCCATAGGGACGTGTACCGGTATCTATGCAGCACAGAATTATGCCGTTCCAAACATTGAAAACACCATCAAAGAATACATACACAACTTTAAAGGACGTTCCAAATAAGGGGACGAAAAGTAAGAAGACTGGAAGAGCGGAAGAGACTAAGGGTGCCACTGCAAATGGAAAAAGATGCGTACTTGGTTTAAAACATTTCTGTAGTTACCATTCTAAGCTTCTGCTATAGGGACCTGCTTAAGTATCAAGCCATTTTATGGACTATATATTTTAAATTAAACATATTGACAGAATCATGAAAGATATCAAAACAAAGGGCACCCGCTATTTTCTTTCCATTCGTTCAATGATTGACTTTTAGACGGCTGCCTCATTGAAAATGGTCATCAGTGATCTCACCCCTAACCTCCTCACTAAAGATGCGTTCTGAAGATCCATTGATATATATAATGATACCAACCATTGTGCAGGAAGCTGTGCTGGCTATTTCATCTCTTTATTGTTTTGTTTTTTAAAGGCGGTTCACACATCACAGAAACTCATCCCATCCCTTCTGCTGTACGGTATGGTCTCTTTTAGAGGAGATGTGCTTGTTATTGCCCTCTAGTGGTCAGAAATCAATTTGCACAGAGGGTGGTAAAGCTTCGCTCTCATGTTGCCCTCCCGTTTCTAATCTGTCCAAACCCTTCCTTTATGGCGTGTCTGAGCATCTGGTGTGTTGTGTCTTTGCGGGGTAAACACTTTCCACATAATAGGTCAATTTTACACTTTGCAAAAGTTTTACTTTTCAATTATATACCTCATATATGTAGAGATCCATGTGGAAAAAAGACTCAAATAATACACTGTTCAAATGATAAATATTTCTCTATATATATATTCCACCTTAATCTCCTTTAAAAAATGAAAATGCACGCCTAAGTGAACATTTTCTTGATTTAATTGCACTTGTTTTGCCAAACCATGAAAGTGTTATTTGGATTATTTTGTGAAATATATATTTATATATTCTGAAGAGTGCCTACTCTGGTCTGAATTATCATCTCATACCATGTGTGCAATAGCTGGTCCTGGTGGTCTTTGGCTTCCTATTTCGAATGCTGGAAACTAGTTAATCTTTTGCACTTGTATGGATTTTAGGGATTTAGAATTGTTACTTAGTCTTTCAATTATGTTATTTTGTGTGCAAGAAATATCAAACCAAATCTTTGAGTTGTTCCTTCTGAAAGGTGGATACACGTCAATTGTATACCATAAATAATGCTGGTGCTGCAGGATACTCGCCTGAAAGCCTAATGCAAAAAATAAAAAACACATTAACAATAGCAACGGATAATACAGCAGATATGCATTATTTATTTTGCTGTGCAGATATTTCACTTTAACCAAAAAAAAATACTTTTTTTAGTTGGTGGGTGCAGGAACACACACTGCTTTTTACAGGCCCGCTTTTATACACAGTCAGGCCTGTAAAAAGCATCAGTGAAAAGACCCATGTTTGAGTTCTGATGGAGGTTGTGCTCCTTTTAGCTTGTATTTTGACTGGAACACAGAAACAACTTGTGCCTATTGACAACATTATGTTCCTGTCTGCATCGCATGCTCTGTTTCTTAATGTCCTGTCTTATATCTTTGCCATATTTCCATCTTTAAATACTTGATATGCTTTGGAAGGTAGAATATGGGTCAATTGTTTTATTTCATGGTCTTGTCATCACATGGTTTTACTCAGTTTGAAATTCCTTTGTGAAAAGAAAAACGTCGTAAATGTCTAAGGTTTTTATTGGTTCAAATAAATGGGGATAATACAGTTTACCATTGTCTGAAAAGTGGAGTATCATTTCCTAATTTTGTCTAAATGTTGGTCGATGTTTCACTAATTGTATCCTCCCACCAGAGATTTTTATTTTTAATCACACTGACATCTGAATAAAATCCAATTAACAGTAACCGAAAAATCCTTAACTTTAACCAGCCATTAAAAAAAAAAAAAAGAACCTGACAGTAGCAACGTAATTAATAACAATCAATGTCCATTTAGTACAGATGGCAGATAAGTTGCAATAAACTGATAATAAGGCAAGCAGATAAATGGTTATTTTTGGTTTATTTAACAGCTGTATGTAAAACCCTATATGCTAATCGAGTAGTACAGATATGAAAGCGATTAGAAGTTGATGAACATGCAACATGTCATTACGCTCGGGGGCTGGCGCTCTCAGCTTCTGTTACCCAGGAAACAAAGCATAATGAAAAAGTTAGTAGTAGAAAGATAAAATCCCAATTTGATGTACTAGGATTAAAACATTCAAACGACAGCAATGCTCACAGATATTCTCTATTGTCTACGGATGCATCCACGGAGGATGTGAACTCACCATCAAGGTCCGGCAGAGTCAACAGTTTGCTGAAGCTGTCTGTAAATACAGAAACACGGCTTCAGAAATAATCACTTTGATAATATTAATGTTTATATATTTTGCAGGTGCATCAAAAAACAAAGTAATCAGGCAAAATGGAATTACATATGACATTCGTACAATTGTTGTGGGGGTAAAAAAAGACATTGGTCCACAACTGGACGTAACATTAGAAATCCTCCCGGTTCTCTATTGTGTGACCGGCAATCTCGTCTCACCGATGGGGACGGACGCGCCGCATCGTCCTCCCGAGGACGCGGGGACCTGCTGCCCGTCGGCCGGGTTCACACACCAGCAGCTGCCCAGGAAGCACTGCTGCGCCCGGTAGAGGCCGCGCCCGTCACAGGCCGGCCGGAAACCCGGCACCTGCAGAGGCTTCCGACCGGCCGCCTCCAGCTGGCAGTCCGTGGCATGCTGGGGGACTGCGGGGCGAGAGGGGGGTTCATGGCGCGTGTAGGTACATATAGAAAAGAATGCAATGTGAATATTTACACAACATACCAGTTTTATCTGTGACCTCGGTAGACGCCTCCTGTGACAGAAGCAGGGAAACAAAACAGAACTGAGACAAGATCTTAAATCGTACAATCAAACACGGCAGTAACTTCGGTGTTTATTTATTGTCAACTGTTTGGCTTCTATATCAGAAGATATCGTCTCTACCCGCAAATATGTCTTAACACTGTATGTTTTATGAGTGAAAAAATGAACCGATCTGGTTATGGCATTTTATTTCTTACCTCGTCCACCACATCCAACACTTTGGGAAAGGCGTTCATGGGCATGCGCATGGGGACAGAAGCTGGAGACACCAAGAGGAAACAATGCGTGAGAGGTGGAGGAACAGCAACACAATGAGTGAGGAAGTGAAAGTCAAGAAGGAAGGTTGGATCCATTCTGCCGTCTATGTGTCTTTTAGCACAGTTATTCCTCATAAGTCTAACAGGTAATAGAGCAGGTCACTGGGGATTTTGAAGAATTTGTCTCTCATTTTGATAATCACGACTGAATTCCACCTGCACCACCAGATCCGGATCTGGACACGGACAACCTCGACTGCAGGTTTTTGCTCTGGTCCTCCAGAGATTTGATGTCGCTCCTCTGGCTGAGGACCAAGTAGGTGGTCGCCACCTGGCCCGCGATGAGGACACAGGCCAACAGGGTCAGACCTGCCACCTTGTGGGCCCGAGAGGGGCGGCCGCTGTGGGGGAGGAGGGAGGAGGTGAGGAGAGCAGAGCAGGACTTTCACTTGACTCAGTCGATCGGAAACAGGAACGAAGAATGACGGACAAAAGCGGGAGAGCGGGCAAAATGCCTTATATGTGACGCAGTGTCGTTGAACAACTAACAAGTGGTTAATCTGGACTAAATATTGATGTGGGTTCAAGGGGATTAAGAGAGACTGAGAAACAAATCAATGTGAAAGTGAGGAGGCAGAAAATGCAAATATGAGGAACATTTTAGAGGCTTATTCGCAGAATTTCATTGAAAGAGGAAGTTTGGCCTCGGTATTCACCGAATGTGGCCTACGTCACCACCCACTCACAGGTTAACTCGGCTGTTGCCAAGCAGACCTTGAGGGAATGTTTTGGAAGTAGTTTTGGCCCTTGTTTTTCAGCCACAAGGCCTCCTTTTGGATATTCCCATAATTTAAAATGCCATGACCTCTCTGAGGCCTCCGATACATCTGTTCTGTACGTATCTAATGTCAAACAAGTTAGATGCAGTTTTGTTTTAAAGTTATTTTAAAATTAATTGTATTGCTTTTCACACAGTGAAACATAAAGTGATTTCCAATCATTTCTGTACTAACATTAGATGAAAATAACAGCAGAAATGAGCAATCCATCATTTTCATAATTTGATGTGTATAGCTCAATATCCAAAAGATCCCTTATTTCTTTTTGGTAATAATTTAGTTAGTGAATTTCCCTCAACACAAGTCAACAAAGTATCGAGAGTGCTGTGAAGAAGGGAAAAAACATTTACATCTACTTATCTTTATAACAATAGCCAATCCAATCTTTATGTCTTAGATCGTATAACAACAGCCAACATAAATTACAGTCGATGGTAACTGACTTTGTGGAGACCGGGTTTTTGGTCCAATAGTTTTCTTGGTCCGAGTATAGAGATACAAAGGCATCATTCTTACCCCTGAGCATTGACTGCCGGCTGGCTGGTAGCCGCCAGGAGAGGCTGGTTCTGGATCTCTGGGTCCGACATCTTCACAAACCTGCAAAGCACATAAACAGATCAACATGAAACACCCAAAAACAAACATCCACCTACCGTAGGGGCATTCAAATGATTGTACCTCAATTCAGGTCAAGTTGCCAGTTGCTTCACGAATGTCAATGACAGACTTCAGTGAGTTTTCAACTTTAAAGGCTGAGAGGAGAAAGAAGGAACTGAAAGCGACAGGCTGGGGAAAACCCACACTGACGTTTTTTTTGCAAACTAAATTTCTGATTGGTCTCTCATGATGACGCATCATCTGTCACTAGGCAGACACGATTGGGCAAAAACTGGTCGCGACTTAAAATTGTCTTTTTATATCAATGTTGTGGGAATTTGGAGAAAATTAAACATTGTATTATGTATTGTATTAAGTATTTAAAAAGATCATGTTTGAGCCAACTTCCTTCTTATTTTAGATTAAGTTTAAAAGAAATAGTCAATAGTTACAGAAGAATCTTAAGGTGTCACATAAAATAAGTAATTTTGTACAGTAGTTTTTTTTCTTTGCTCTCTACGTAATGGCACAAAGGTTTTGAATTAAAAAATTCCCCCCAAAAAGTAAAGCCGGTGTGGGTATAAACATATAACAACAATACAATGTAGATATAGATATAAATATATCCAAGATTGTACATATCAAAAGTATTCACATATAGATACTAAAAAGGTTTAAAAAGACAAAGTATCAACTCAAACTTTTTATTTAAGTAAAAGTATAAAAGTTTAAAACTACTTAAAGTATAAAAGTAAAAGTAATGTAAGGGAAACATTTTTCCATTAAAGACAAACTCTTAATGTGTCGATCGCTCACAGTTATAATGATGGGAAACACTGAACTGGCAGTGGTCGGTTATCAAAACATGGGCCTAATAACCCGTTTTTTCCGGCGACCACCGAGGTCACTCTGATGCGTGTCATCTTCAGGTGCATCGCGAAGAAAACCTGAATAGGGTTTTGTGTGCGTGTGCGTGTGTGTGTGTGTGTGTGTGTGTGTGTGTGTGTGTGTGTGTGTGTGTTTGAACGACGATAAGCCGGAATGAAAACAAGCCACGATGAAATAGGAGTAATGAGGCTGTTTATAAAATGTAAGGAGTAGAAAGTACAGATATTTGCGTGAAAGTGGAAGGAGTATAAGTAAAAAGTCATCTGAAAAATAAATACTCCAGTAAAGTATAGATACCCAAAAGTTGTACTTAAGTAATGTACTGAAGTATTTGTACTTCGTTACTTGACGCCTCTGCCTCTCACTGAAATAGATACTCGCACAGCAGAACAACGTGCGGCTTGGTTGGATTTGGTGTTTTCCGAAGTCAATTGGGTGCAGTACCTCCTCCGCCCAGAAGGGGAGGGGGGGGCGCTAAATGTTCCTGTTGACTCACCAAAGAGGAAAACATCCCACATTGTGATTGGTCGAACCTGTAATGTTGCGGGAAGTAACCATTCCCGCTGCACCAGCTACGATTTCTAACGGAATACCCACCAATTCGTTGAGCATTTTACGGTATGAATGCACAACTTGTTTTCTACGCGTTCTGCTGTGTAGGAACGCAAAGCGGTACACACCTCTGCCACGTTTTGTGCCATTTAGCGAGCCAAATCTGCTAGCGTCAGCTTGGAGCGCCAAATTTGAAACGACACAAGCTAATTAGAGCTTGGTTGTGATATCGAGCAAACGGTTTCATTTGGTATGACTCAGCGAATGAAATATCTCTGCTGAATGTAACACAGATAGAGCCCGTGCTCTCCGTGTGACTGTCATTGCCTGGTGGCGACAGAATACAGAGTTAGTTAGCTAGCTAATGACAGTGGATAACTGAACACGGACCCGCTGTCATGTTGAGTCGTAACGTCACTAACGTCAGATAAGTTAAAAGATGCAGACGTAACGTCAAAGCGTTGTTAACTCAAACCATTGTTTCCTAGATGATGCGAAGGCCGAGAACAACGACTGCCAAAGTTGCAGAGAACAGAGATGCGGACTCCGACGTGTAAGTGATTTCTCATTTATTTTCTACAGCGCAGCATCTGGGGGTTTTCTGTTTTTGACAAACGTAACACAGTCGTATACTAATAATACTGTGTCATCCACTAGAAACCCTAGTCAGATGTTATGACGTTGAAGGAGTATCTCCTATTTCTGTATTGGAATTTGATAATTTATGTTTCTACCACCAGGTCACTTTCACAGTCGGTCAGTAGTGATGAAGATGTGGATGACTGGAGGCCACCTGAGCCAAAGCCAAAAGCCCGCGGCAGGGCGGCCAAAGCTCCCGCAGCACCCGGGGAGAAGAAAGCCGCTGCCAAGAGACCTGCCAAACCAAAGGAGCCAAAGGAGCCAAAAGCACCCAAACCACCTGCAGCTCCCAAAGTGCCAAAAGTTCCTAAACCAAGGGCACCACGCAAACCTGCAGCGCAGCCAAAAACCAAGGTTCCTAAAGTTCTGAAGGATTCTGGTGCACCAGTGTTGGCTGGAATAAAGAGGAAATATATTAATGAAGGCAACAAGGATGATACGGCTGCTGTAAAAAAAAGAGTGAAACAAACTGACTGTCCAGAGGGAGAGAGCGGGCCAAGTGTCAGAATGAAAGAGGAGGTAAGACTCACAACCATTTAAATAACAGTATTATATCTGCACACACACTCTTCCATGTATAGCTGATGTAATCAAAGTAAACAGAGTGTTATTATGTTATTATTATGTCAATGTTTATATTTGTGTTTATTTCCCGTATACTACTCTTTTCTTGGCTGTTTCTTTTTTCTGGCAGAGGGTGTCATTCATCGTGTCCGACGCCCATCCGGCAGGCGGATCGGCAGGCGAGGGGTCGTCGTCACTAGCCGGGTTCAAGCCAAAGAAAGAGGAATTGGAGGAGGAGGAGGAGGATTTCACGTTCGGTGAGCTCTGTCAAACGAAACAGAAGACCAGCGGTGCCTGTTTGGGACGACCAACTGCTTTACCATCGTCAGAGGCACACGGCCTGAGGAATGAACTCAATATGAACTGGGATTTGAAAGAGGTATTGATGGTGTCGGCGGTGTTTTTTTAATTTACTTGCTCCAAAATATTAACAATGCACATGCAGCTTTATTTTTTGATAAGTTAATAGGTTGTTATGTGGGTGATGTTCTTCTGCCTACTGAACTATTTGCGGATATAGATAGCACTTCTAGAAAATAAGCATGTTTCACTCCCCTTAGCTGCTGTCCACCCTGACGTGTGTGGATCGATGGGTGTGTGCAAATATCGTCGGGCTGCTTCAGGAGGAGAATACGGTGCCATTCATGGTGCGCTACCGCAAAGAGATGATCAACCACATGGACGCCGATGCTGTCCGAGACGTACAGATGGTATATGAGGAGTTATGGTACGCAAATGAAACGCCTTTAAAGAAACATTTAAAAGAAACAAACCTCATCTCCTCTTGCCGGCACTTATCCAATACAATATATACAGCTGGAGTTGTGAAATGTGTTCCAATATGCGTGAGCATTGGCCACTAGATGGTGCTGGTGGTCAAGCTATGAGGAGTGAAACTGTATCTTGTGATTTGTGATTGTCTTACTTGCTATAATATCTGTTATTTAGAGTGTGTGCTTCATCATCATGCTTCTCTGCATATATAAGCAGTTTCTCTTTTTGTTATTGTTTACGTGCTGTGTTGCCTCAGTTCTCTAGCCAAGAAGACCCAGTCGGTGGTTCAGACCCTGAAGAAAGACGGGGTTCTCACACCTGAGTTGGAGCAAAATCTGAGGAGCAGCCGATCAGCCGATGAACTGGATCATGTGGTCAGAATCATGTTTGATTGCTAAAACAATATCCTACATTTTAAATTGAACTGTGGCCATGTAATTCCTGGTATTGGCTCTCACACCTGTCCTTACCAGCCATCTCAGTCCTGTGCATCTGTCCTTGTGCGTAGTATTCTCCTTATAAGAAAGGCAGTAAGCTGACGAAGGCTCGCAGAGCCAAAGCACTCGGCCTCGAGGCGGCCGCATTTGCAATCTTGAACACACCGCATACTCTGGATTTAAAGTCATGGGTAACACCTGGTACTGAAGGTAAGACATATATACACACACACACCCCAAAAACATTCCAGACATAAAACAAAGCCCTCAACATTGTATATATTTGCTCTAATATTTACAGAGGTCCTCAAGTGGGCTGTTTTTTACTATGGTGTGTGTGTCATTGTGTGCCAGGTCTGTCATCGGTGGAAGAAGTGGCTACAGGTGTGGAACATATCTTGGCTGATATGATCGCCAAAGATCCTGAGACACTCACCTACGTGAAAACATTGTGAGAACACATGCACAACATGCACATAAAAATTCTTCATTTTTCTGTGTTTGATTTAATTTTCCGTAATGGTCTGTGTTACATTGATATTACATCGATATCTCCTGGATGCTACATTGATGATGATACAGTGGCCATTCCCTCCGTGTTTCCCTCCCGCTGTGTCAGGTGTGAGAACAGCTTTGTGACCATCCAGTCCTCCGTGTCCAAGTCGGCCCTAAAGGAAAAGGAGCAGGAGAAGTCTGCGGAGGGCAACAAGAAACCCGGAGCCCAGCAAAACAAAAACAAGGACATTGACAAGTTCCACCTCTACCTTGACTTCACCTGCAACATCCAACGCATCCAACCCCATCAGGTAGAAACAGACCAGTTTATGGTTCCTCCTTCCTCCCTTCCTTTGGGAAGAAGAGCCGTGACCCACAGTGTTTGGCACACATACTTTTCACGAAAGCAATAGTTTTAAAAAACACAAACACATGCACACCATCTGTTTGTGTTTGTGTCATTTCCGTCTGCTTCATCTGTGCCGCTTCTGAATGCTAGCCACGTCAGTCGCAGTTAGCCTTGTCTGTACCCCTCCTGCGCCCTGCTCTGCCTCCTCGGCTCCCCCTCTGTCTCTCTAGTGACTAGTGGGTTACTCAGAGTTGGTCCCGGGCCTCATGTGTCACCACGGCTTCCATCACCCGCTGCCTCTCTGCCACAACACACTCTCTGGCAACCGCGCTCTGCCCTACAGTCATACAATCGCACAAACATACATTCATGCGCGCGCACACACACACACACACACACACGTGCTTACACTCAAGCACACCCCGCGAGTCCCCTCATTCTCTCCTCTTAACATATGTGACATGTCCCCTGCCGACATGCCATTGGATTAGGAGGCTTTGATTGACAGGCGCTCTCCTGTAGTGACAGCTACTGCTGCTGTGCCCACGGGCGGACGGAAGGACGGGTGGAGCGGGCGGGGGTGGCAAAAGGGAGGGAGCGAACGAACAGACGAGCGACGCCGATGTGCGTCCGTCACTCTCTCGCCTTGCTCTGCGCCCCCCCCCCCCCCCCCCCTCCTCCCCTCCTCCCCTCCCCCCTCCCTCTATTTCTGACTAAACCTCAGCCTTCCAGTCCCCCCCACACCTCCCCTTTTCCCTTCTCCTCTCCCGTGTATGAGAGGCCTTTAATTCGATGACTCGCCTTTGTCACGGGGCGTTAATCCACAGGCTGCTGTGACCCTGCTAGCTGTCAGATTCCGGCTAAAATGAACCTTTTCTAGCCGTCAACTTGTCGCGAAGGGGGAGCAGGTGGGAGATGTGTTTTGACAGGAGGCATGTGCGCGCCACACACACTTGCCCGTTTGCTATAGCACATTTTATTCAGCCCCGGCTCTGGTGGTTTGTTAAAGGAAAAAGACGGGGCATCTTGTGAAGGGAGGTATAGAAAGGTTTGGACTCGGTGCGGTCAACCGGCATTTAAATCCAACAGCAGGTGGGAAATAAACTGGTGGCGAACAAAAGAAGCTATTTAATTGTTAATGTTTTAGTTTAAAGAAGGAATAATCTTTAATGTTTTACAGGTTTTAATTGATTTGACTAAGACATACAGTTAATATAAAAACGGTAGAAAGACTAAAGATGGATGAAACGTGAACATTCAGTCCTCATTGTCTGCATGAAATGTAATTTGGGATTAAAAAAATATGGGGCTGCATAATGCTAATGTTCATTTTTTGTTAATCTGACTATTATTAATTGCTTGTTCTATAAAATGCTCTAGAGAAGGTCGTCAAATGGCTTTTTTTGTCCAACCAACTCCTAAATCCAAAGATATTTAATTATACAAACTGCAATCAGAACCAGCGAATGTTTGGTATTTTTCAATTTGATTTGACAATTGACATTTTTGGAGTATTTCATTTTCCCCCCATACAATGCATTTTGTATTATGGAGAGTTCTGGAATATAAAAAGTTCCATGTATGTCCTTGATTAAGGTTAGTTCATACAAAGCTCTGGGATTCCGTGTGTCTTGGAGCCATTTGACGCATCTCGTCGAGATGCTTAGCTCAGATTTAATTCCGTCAGATTTGATTTGAGTTCTCCTTTCGAGGGCTCACATTTACCTCATAGCTATTCAGCACGCCAGGGCCGATCTGTTGAGCGTGCAGTGGGCTACTTTTAATGCGATTTGCGTTGTGATCAAATGGTAGTTTAGCGCTTCGGTGTGCGGCCCGCCTGCAGAGGGGCTTTGGTAAATGAAGCTGTTTCATCAATTGAACACTCCTTTTTTGATGGACAGGTTGGGATAAACAAGTTAATTTCCACTGTCACTCACCAACACTTAGTTTTAAGTGTTTGTAAAGGAGATAAATATTTTACTATATCAAAAAGAATGTAGAACAGCAAATATTCTTACACATTTTAATAATGATTTATTTTTTAAGACGAAACCCTCCACCCCAAAATGTACCTGTTTGTGGCTTGGTTACTTAACTATTTAAAATAGTTAATAGCAAACCCCTTCTGCCTTCTTACCCCATGTAATTGGCACTCATGGTAAATATCTGCCCCAGGGTTATGAAAATAAATACGGACACATTTGGTCGAGCTACATTTTAAACCACAAAGTGAAGTAAGCGCTAATGGAGCCGCCTTCCTGCTCTCCTCCTCCTCGTTGCGAGTGAAGTTTGTTCTTCCACCAGAGACCTCTGGACGCCGCGTTTGTTTTCGGACAGAACAGGAGAGCGTAAAAGGGGCAGAAGGAGCACGGAGTTCTCCCGGAGCGGCCCGTGTGTTTGTGTAAGAGAGAGGCGTGCCGCGCTGGGCCGCGCCCCCCCCCGCAGTGTCTTATCCGCAGCCATATTTAGAGAGTCAATATTCATCTGGAACCATACGGCCTAAAGAATAATATTCTCTAAATGTAGCTTACATTCCATACAGATTAACCAGTTATCAAGGTCTGTCAGGAATATAATATGCTTGTTTCCCTTTTTTATTGTTAACCCCTTGGCACTAGTACAGCCAAGCTCTAACTTTTATTGTCAGCAATCTCTGGAGCATCACATTAACAAAAGCATTTCTTTACACAAAAAAGTACTTTTTGTACTTAAATGATGAATATTATCTAAAAATAAACAGTTTTGAAATGTGAAATGCGTGATAACCCTGCGTGGATCCGCTGACATGTTATTGTACAGCAGGTCACATGTGTGCGAATGTGCTGTGAGTCTTTGTGTGTCCGTGTGCGTGCGTCTTTCTGTGTGTCCTTGATACGCCGGATGGATGGACGTGTTGATAGTATCCTTCCGAGGAACGCGTTAGACAGCGAAGGAGACAGGCGGAGAGAGGACGGCCGTTGGCCCCCCGCCCGCCCTCCCTCGGGGGGCCCGGGGCCCGACGGACCATCTAGAAAAGGCGTTCTGTCTGGTCTCGTCAGGCTTTGGCCGGGACTCGGCCGTGTGTCACTCCTCGCCCATCCGACGCACAAACAGGCGCCTTTCACTCCGTCTCACACCCCCCCTCCTCCCTCCGAGATCACCCTGCGTCTTCCACCAGTGACCTGACCCGGGCGGAAAGTGAGAGCCGTCACGTCCACACAGACACTGGGTTGTGGCTCACGGGCGAGGACAGAGACACGGCGAGGACGGTTGGAGACAAACAAATGTCCATTTCAGCAGATTTAGTTTTTGGCAACCGGGCAAAGGGAAGATCAGTTTCGGGCATTTTGGTGGTAGAATTAGAGGATGCTGGGAAGCACAAGTCGGGATTTAGGATTGGCAGCAATGTCAGGTGACGTTTGGCTCCATCGGAAACGGGTGTCGGACATGTCTAGAAACCGGCATTAAATGATTGACCATCATGCGACTGTGGTCAGTCATGCTGAAAATACTCCTTAAAACTTTTCAGTGTTGAGGAAGGAGCATGTAGTATTCCCATTAAATGTCACTCTTGGGCTTACCCAGACGCTCTGAGGATCCGGAAAGACGTGGTTTCCTTCCAGGCTCCAGCAGCATGCTAAACAGTGCTTTGATGGAGATCGTTTGAGAAACCTCATCACAGTCGGTGTGTCAGCCCGGGGCAGGAACATGCCAACCCAAGAGGAATCTAACTTTCATCATAGTTCAACCGAGATCGCTGCATTAATTCCTGCCTCCGCTCTGCCATTAGCTGTGTTTTACATTTTGATATTTGTGTGTGTGTGTGTTGCATATGTGTTCAGCACATCCGAGGGTGCTGCTGAGTGGTAATGGTTGTGGCACCACGTGTGTTTGCGTGCGGGTGGGAGCGAGGGGGGGAGGGGGGGGAGAAGGCCTTGCGGTCCCAGCGCTGATGGTGGCGTAGTGGTGGCATTTGTCGGATTGCTTCTTCCGCTTGGTTTCCAGATTGACGTTTTGTTTCTTGGCCCTGTTCTGTGGCGGGCTAAAGATTCCCCACTGAAAAGGTCAGACACTTACTACAGTTTGCTTAACAGCATGTAGCAGTTCCTCTGAGGGGGGAGCAGCACACAACACAACAGCCTGGCCACAGGATACTCTCCTGGGCTCATCACTCGCACACATTCTGGGTTTCAACGAAGGTTTGGGTGCACCTGTGTTTTTAAAAAATATATTTGTGTACAGTAATCTTACCACAAGTAAAGTAATGTGTACAAATTACAGTTGAATTAAAAGTCTCTCTGTGTTACCTGTGCGCTGTTTACACAATTTGTTGTATTGCATTAAACATGAGGTGTGTGTCTCTGTACACAGACCCTGGCTATTAACCGAGGAGAGAATCTGAAGATTCTGACGGTGAAAGTGAACATTCCCGACAGGTTGAAGAATGACTTCATGAGTTGGTGCATCAACAACAGGTCAGAAACGCTGTATATATTTTTACTTTGAAGAATAATTTCAGTTTTTTGTTTTAAAGAAGCAAGGATTACATTAATAATTTGTTATGCTGCATCCTTTTGTTTTAATCGCATTATATGAAATATCTCAATAATCAATTCATCTTGTATAAAAAAGGTTGAAGAATTAACAAATGTAATATTTAATCAGGAAGCTGTCTTGTTTGTTTGAAAGGAATGGTTATTAAGCCAGATGGCTGCTTAATAAAAAAAAAAAGAATTCTTGCCCAAATGGGGTTGTGCTTTAAAGTCCCATTTTATTCTCTAAATTGCATTCATTGGTGGAAATGGCTCTTTGAAGGACTGAAAAACCTTCTGTGCCCTTTTAATGCAGGTGGAGGCCGAGGACGTTTGCAAAAGACGAGCTTCGTGCAATCATCAAGAATGCTGTCGAGGACTCTTATAAAAGGCTTATTCTGCCTTTCCTCACTAGGAGCTACAGGTATTCTGTGTGTGGGGTGATAACCAATTCTCAATTGTTCCCTCCGTTCACCGTTCTTCCTTATACTCCCCCGCCCCAATATCTCCCTGTCGCTCCCTTGCATCCCGTCCCGTCAGGACTAAGCTGACAACTGCAGCAGAGAAGGAGTCAATCGCCATGTTTGTGCGAAACCTGCGGCAGCGCCTGCTGGTGTGTCCAGTGAGGGGCTGCGTCATCATGGGGGTGGACCCCGGCTTCAGACATGGCTGTAAGCTGGCATTTCTCTCCCCCACTAGTAAGTCAACACACATCTAAAACCTTTTGGGCCGTAATCCTCGTTAGAACATACCCTCTGACAGTAATTAGTACAGCTCGTTAGCTTAACTTAAGCCCTACCTCATTAGAATATGCTACTCTTCATAATGTTATTGGGTGCTGATACATTTCATGGACACGTTTTTAGGAACAGTCTCATTGCATTTCACTAACAGCATTTTTCTCTAACTAGCCTCAGCTTCTAATAGTTCGGTTCAGTTCAGATCGTTTATCTCCTCTATTACACTATGCAAACCGAGTGCCATCGCAGATTCGTGGCTGAGGGCCGACATTTTGGTGTTTGCGTGCATGTCATGAGACTAGATGCCAAGTGGCACGACCCTGGCGTGTGGATTATGCGTTAGCGTGCACACGTGCCGGCGTGTTTTGGTATGACCGCTGTGCTCCACTGAATGTCACAGCGCGAGTCTGAGTGGGTGTGGCCTCACACTGCGCCGGGGCGGGTCCCACCCTCCGGGTGACTGACTGAATGACTGTGTGGCCACAAGTCACGCTGACACACTTAAAACAGACTGACACGGGTCCGCGTTGGGTGTCCGGTCATGTGACCTTCGGTCCAGGCTGCACTCGTCCTCTGCGGAATCATCTAACTGTCAGGTAGAGGAACTCCTGCAGAGGCTCAGATAAATGCTGAGTTCATGCATCGTTTGGTTTATTTGGGGTATTGTATGCTGTGAAGAACGTGCAGAGAGATAGTGTTTTGTTAGTCTATTGAAACCCCCTTTTGTCAATATAATACGTTGGGTTTTTCTCCCTGATCTCAGGTCAGATCCTCCATACTGATGTTGTGTACCTGCATAATGCAGGCAACCAGAGAGAAGCAGACAAACTGCGCCACCTCATGATCAAATACAGGTACCGCTGCTTGTGTCCAGAAAGTCCACTTGGAAGTGTAATGTTTAATGGACCATTAATGAATATCTTGATTGTATTAATCAATTTTATTGGTGTGAATTTCCTCTCTTCGTGTGTACATATCGGCATTAATAACTCATGTAAACAGAGTCATAAGCGTACACAGCAAATATAGCTGATTCTGATAATCTCTATTTTCTGTTGTATGAATGAACATAATATTCAAAACGGGGAAGGATAATTGTAAAAGTAACATAATTTTTACAGTTGCTTTTATAATCCTCCTTCTGCTCTTCCTCTCATCCACACTAGCTGTTCCAAGGTTGTCATCGGCAACGGGACAGCGTGCCGTGAGACTGAGTCGGTCTTCGCGGACCTCATTTCTAGACGCTGTTTTCACCCCCTGGACGTGTCCTACTGGTAAGCTGCTTCATCCGGTGCATTTGACCGCAGGCCCCAGTTACCCTGAACAGAAAAACAACTGGTTGCACAACATTGATGGTAGGAACCCTACCGTCCATGGCATCACTTTCTCTTTGGTGGCACACGTTATTTCACCATGTGTTGATATTTGTCGAGATTTATTTAGTATGAGGTACGCGATGATGGCGAGGACAGTGAGATGTGTCGCTGAGGTCTGAATTAGGATGATGATGATGGTCGAGGATTAGCAAAAGTGGAAAGCCTGGCGTGCGGAGGGGAAAGCGGTTGAATAAACGGAGTCAGCGATGCAAAAGGATAAAGTACGGAGGAAGAGAAAGTGTGGGAGAGAGACACAAAGTGGAATGTGTCCCTCAAGCAAATACCGTCCATTAAAGCCATCTGGTCTGCGTTTGACTTCGGCCCAATTAAAGGGAGGTTTTGCGGTCCACGTTGTGTCGGTAACCAGGCCCAGTCCGCACTTTAGAATACAACAGCGCAGAACCTCGGCCCAAGCATAATAACCAGCGGCCTCTCTCTCTGTCTGCGGAGTTCCATGTGTGTTTGTTGACTTGGGGCTGGCATTGGGAGCGCGGCCTAGAATGATTCTGAGCTGTGCGGGAAAGTGTCTGACTGCATACGAGGCTTTTGTCAGGATACCTTTGGTGTAATAGCCCGCATTTCTTTTTCCTTCAGTGGGGCGTTTATTAAGTTAACTTCCCCTTGATTATTTTCACGACGGACATTTTTTCCTTCGAGAGCAGCAAAGTTTAACATCTTGATATAATGTCCTCTTATTCATTCTTTTCCTGCAGCTAATGGCGTTTGTGGTGCGAATGTTGTACTTGTGTTTGATGCGGTGCAGACTAAATGTCCCATAACGCCTGATACGATTAACTATGTTTTTGCAGCACGTAATAAATGCGTAAATGGTCCGCCTTTTCCTTGGTAGGGTTGGTAGAATAAAGGCTCTTTGCAAGTGCATGAACTATGGTTGTTGTCATCTAGATGATATCGCCCTGCAGTCCTCTGGTCTCATGCCTCGCTTTGGTTTCTTTGGACCGCGGATGATGGAGGCTCAGAGAAACATAGTTTTAAGTCTGTATTAAAATCATACACTCAGACTATTTTTCTCCCCTCCCTCCTTGTCTCTTTATTATCTTTATTCCCCCTCTCTGCTGTCTTCCTTCCTGGCCACTGTCCATATGTCCATCATCTGTGCTCTAGATCGAGAAAACTCTCTGTGGTCCAACTTCTTCAGTGTTACACACGTGCATATGTGAGACTAACGTCCAATTTCTCAGCACCAATTAAAATTCAGCTTCACTGAAAAGCACACTCATCAGAAAACATCTATACAAACGCATGTTCTAAATACCCCTTAAATGTGTACCATAAAAAGGTCTTCAGACGGTTACTAGATGGTGACTTAGATCTTTGGACAGGGCATCAAAGTTGCTAAATACAAATGTAAGTCCTCTCCTTTCAACAGTAGATAATTACTAGATCTTTTTTAATGTTTCCCAAATAAATGAACATTGATTGAGTTTGTAAAGAATAATTAAATTCCTGTTTTTATTCAAAGCAAATTGTGTAAATTAACAATAAACAAATCGACGTTAATTATTTTGTTGTATGCTGGATAAACAGAACGTCTGTGGTTTATTTCCTTTTTTTGGACTTGTTATTAGTCCATGTTACTACCCAAAGTTCACACAAACGTCCCCCCATAGATGATGATGAGAGGGCAAGGACTGTCGCCGCTGACTATGAGGGTCTCACTCCCCTGCTGACTGACCCGCAGCTGACCCAGGCCTGCCATTAGAGGAACCTCATTACCACGGCAACAAAGATGATGGCAATGGTGGAGGCATCTGAAACCGCAGGGGGTCTAAGTGCTTGCTGTGATTGTCCCCGTTTCAATTAAATGACCCAGTTTATAGTGTGCGTGTGTGCGTGTGTGCGTGCGTGCGTGCGTGGCGGTTCATTGGGGCAAAGGGGGCGTAGTCAGGCTTTGACGGACAGGTGTTCGCAGGAAGTCTATCAGGCAGCCCAGGTAGTGGGAGCCGGCTCAGCCGCAGACTGTTCGGTGTACGTACAAAGTCACCGTTCCATCCACTTGACCATCCGTGTCTTTGACCCCTCTGTCCATTTCTATCCACGTTTTTAATTTTTTTTTTTGATGGTTTTGATCATCATTACCTTGTCTTTTGGGGTAGAAGTTCAGTCACAGCTCCTCTCCGCCTCGGCAGTGCAGTAGTTCATTAAAGACCTCAGCCTCATTCGCACCATCTGCTTCATGTCTCCCAGTGAGCCTTCATTGTGTCACCACCCCCAACCTTCTCCACCCTTTCTTCCCCGCACGCCTCTCTCGCTCTCTCTCCCCCTCGGTCCTTCTGCCTCAGCGCTCAGCTGGAATGACAGCCAGAAATGGCGGCCTGCGGGACCTCCTTCCTTGTGTGTGTGTCTGTGTGTATGCAGCTCTCAGTGCTGATGGAGTAGACTCGTTGACTCACCGAGGGACCTCTTCCATATTCTTTCAAGGAGTTTGTACTTTTCTGAATACAGCCGAAGAGCACAGATTGTCATCTATGTGTGTAAATGGGTATGAAAGGCCAGAGTGAAATGAAAAAAAAAATCCTGAAAGAAGTCAGGTAAATAGTTAAATGAAGTCCATTTGTGTGCAAGTGTCACATTTATACACAGACCTCCGCTTCCACACCTCTAAAAGGAAACTGACCAAGAAGCTTCAAGAGTGATCACATCAACACAACGTGTCTCCCGCCGCTGTTGTCTTTGCTAAGTGAGGAACACGTGACCAGAATCGTCTCCCCGACGCCTTATTAGACGCACAACAAAAGTAACATGACACAATTGAGCCTGAACGCTGCCTGCGGGAAGGAGCAGCACCCCGCAGGGCGCTGTACACTACTGACCCCCCCCTCCCCTCCACAGGAAGCACATCAAGTTATTTAACATTCAAATGTGCTGATTTAGGTAAATTGTTTGTGTGTGTGTGTGTGCGTGTGTGTTTTTGTTTCACTTGCATCGTGGAATAATTGAAAAGTTCATTACCTGCTGAGCAACGTGTATCTTAACAGTTTGGAGGACAAACTGATTTATTTGCTGCGGCAGCTATAATACGTTTGAGTGTTTGGGGGCTGAATGCGGGAAGAATGAGAAGTTGACAGTGTCGGGCTACAGCAAGCAGACGTTAATGATATCAGAGGGCAAGAATATGTGGGGTAAGGTTATGGAGGTCTCTGGGCTCCACTGATGACACACACACACACACACACACACACACACACACACACACACACACACACATAATAGCTCATAATAGTACATGTATCTAATTGCAAATGAACCACATCAAATTACAGTGTGGTATAATTTGTTGTGTAACAACAACTTAGATGATCTTTGTTACTTTGGTGACGTCCTGCTGTTTATCTGGACTTGTTTCTCGCACGATGCTGCACTCTGTAGCCGCTAAGAGAAGGAGGTGGCCTCTCTGTCTAGCTCCTCCTCGTTCTCCTTGCCGCGGCGGGAGACGTTATCAAACAGCCAACGGAGCGCCACAATGACGCCGCAGGGCGGGACCTTGACCGTCTGGCCCTGCGGCTCGCTCACATCGGGGTGAGATCATTATTACTGGCTAGCTGATGGACCTGCGGGACAGCGGTGTGGACTCTATTCATGACTCTGTGTGTGTGTATCCACTGTCATGTCCTATGTCCAGGCATGCTCCCAGGGCCGGGCTGAGTGAGTGATGAACATAGTGGCAGGACCGGCGATGAGTGAGTGAGGCCTAATCCAGAGTTTGACAGCGACCGAGGAGAGGGGGGGGGGGTCGAGCAAGCCGATGAAGGGGAGTTATGCATTTTATTTGTGAAGTCGTATGTGTGGAGCTGCTAAAGTAGATGAGTTGTCTATAGTCCATGAGAGGCGACTCCATTGTCAGCCGATGACGGGTGAGAAAAGGAGGAAAAGAGGCCCGACTATGGCTGTTGCGTCTGTGTCCTCCTTCTGCAGTTATTTTTGTTTGTGCTTTAGTTTTTGCGTCCTCCATCTCTCTTCCCTTCATTCCGTCCCGCCTTCTCTCTTTCCTCGCGTGCAAAAAAGTTTTGTCTTGAGCAATTTGGCCTTGAGGGGCTTTACAATGTGCACAGCACACGACTCCCTCTGTCCTCAGACCCTCCGCGTGTCTCACACACCTTCTGTTTTTAAAGCACTGCTTTGTGTGTGTGTGTGTTTCTTGTCACTGGTTAGAAAAGGGGTGTCGGGCTGAGGACCGGTGGCGTTGGCAGGTGGCGGCCAGTGAATATCTGCCAGCCTCATCCGTATCACCCACAGCCCCCCCCCCACGCCCCCTCCCGTCTCCCAGCGCGCCTCACTGGTGGTCGGCCTCCGTCCCTTCTGCCTCCGCCCGTCCCGCCCTGAGGTCCCAGTGTTCCCTGCGACTGTCCTGCCTGTGACAAACGTGTTTTAGCCTGTGTGACATGCCGTGTGTGTGTGTGTGTGTGTGTTTTAGCATGCTGTGTTTATGCGTTTGTGCGTGACACGTGCGCAGGCCTTTGCTGCTACCAGATTGACATGAGTGTCTGTGAGGCTTTGCTCTTTTCAGACGTGCCTCACACTGGCAGTTGGAGTTTCTGTGCGTGTGTGCGTGCCTTCTAGCGCCGTGCTGGAGACTGACGGCCCCTGACACCTGCCATTTGGACGCTTTTCTCTGTGAAAAATGTCATCGTCTTCAGACCCGACGTGTGTGTGTGTGTGTGTGTGTGTGTGTGTGTGTGTGTGAGAGAGCGATAGCGATGCTCCCTGGGGTCAAGCTTTGCAGCTGACTGAACAATGGATCCAAGCTGTTTGAGCAGCCGGAACAGAGAAACTTATGTGTGTTTGTATGAATGTATTTCGGGCTGCTACTTTGTGACACAAAAGCTCCCGTATTAAGTATCTGACATAAACTGAGATGTGGACAAAGAAAGAGACCGATGAAGCAGGTATAATTGTCCATGGATCTGTAACTATTTTTTGGGCAAAAAGGTTCTAACGCGGAAAATAATTTGGATCAACAATGAATGAATTAACTCCCAACAAACAAGTGGCACTGAAGGTTGTTTTTTTTAACGTTTCCGCTGCAACGTCAGTCAGTTTTGTCAGAGGTACATATTCACATATTGCCTATATCCATGAGCCTAGAATACTTTGAAATACAGCAATTTGTTCAAACCTAAAGTCTATATTTTATTATTGCAGTCACCCCCACCTTCCAAACTTTTTGTCCTGTGTATCAAATTAGTTGATGATATTATTGCCCCTCTTCTTTTCTGACTGATTGGATGAGCTGTTTTTAATTTAGACGAGGGCTCTAAGCCAGAAGGCTGTAATGAGGTATCAAAGTGTGTATCCATCTCGTCCAATGTTGGGTTTCTTGAGGGGCAGCAGGGGGCCAGTCATGATGTGTGTGTGTGTGTGTGTGTGTGTGTGTGTGTGTGTGTGTGTGTGTGTCCTGCCCCAGGCTGTGTCTCAAAGATGAGTAGGGGAACAGTAGGGGAACAGATCTGGAGCCCGTTGGTGACTTTGCCCCGGGACGGGACAGGGCTAAAGGCCGCCCTGCGTGTGTATGTGTGTGTGTGTGTGTGTGTGTGTGTGTGTGTGTGTGTGTTTGTATACACACAAAGCCAAAGAGTGTGAATAAATGATAATCCTACAGGGGCCACCAAGTCATCGCTTTACACCACAAGGCGATCTTTGACTTTGTGTGTGTGTGTGTGTGTGTGTGTGTGTGTGTGTGTGTCCACGCTTCGACCATCCATCCACTTAGGCCAGTGAGCTGGGGAGCAGACAACCTTCTGCTGGCTGCCAGGATGATGCCCTCACTATGGCGACGGCCATGGACGCTACGGCGACGAGGGCTCAGAGCTGTATCCATGACAGTGCTGTTACCCAGCTGCCCCAGTGGCAGCCTTAATTAAATTAGACATGATAGGGGCTGGTGGCCTCCCTTTCTTCGCCCTCCTCACTCTCTTGCCTTCTGTTTTTTATATTATCTACTTTTTTTTAAACTTATTTTGGGCCCATCTCTCTTGTTCTTTTTTTTTTTTCCATTTCATTCATTTTTTCCATTTCATTCCTTTTCCACCCAGCACCTCTCTTTTACTTGACCTCCATTATCCTCCCGTCTGAATGAGAACAGCGGGGGTTCCGTGTGTTATTTCCATCTGGCATAATTGAAAGTCTATCATCAAATTATTATAGTGAACATTTCAGATTTCTGTGTCTCACTCCGCTTAAATGATCTGTGCCTTTTGTCTCGCGCACGCAGACCGTGTCGGGTTAATGACCAGCTCTGCTTTGACCTCCTTGAAGGTCATGTGCCAGTGCTCGTTAGCTGTGTCACCATGGCGATATGTCAGCTGTCAGCACGATGGATAAGGACCTGACAAAAAGAACAGTGAGGCGGAGGAGGGGATGAATAGAGGAGATGGGGGGAAAAAGAGGGAGGGAGGGAGGGAGGACAAGTTAATTTAAATGTGAGTCCCATCAGAAGGCCTCTGCCACTCCTCATTAACAAGATATTTATAATTGGCAAGGTTGCTGTGGCAAGGTCCAAGCCTCTGGGAGGCTGTGTGTGTGTGTTACAGAAGGCCTCATTGTGAGTTGTGGACATTGGGGAGGTGCTGACCTCTTCCTCATATTGGTCAGCCCCTGAGGAAAAAGTGCCCCCCCCCACCCCCTTCCTTCCTTGAATCCTCCCCCTCTCGCCAACCAGCCGGGAGAATAGAAGAACTAAACAACATGACAGCTTCATGTCGGTAGCATCAACACGGGTATCAGTGGCTTTGTTGTACCGCCGTTCTGTCTGCGTGGTGATGGGTGATAAACGGCCTACTTTAGACTGAATACATTAACATGGAAATAGTACATTTGTTGCCATTTAACCGCAATGTTGCCCTTTAGAATTCTATGATTTTCACTGCCAAGACCTACAAAAATTGGCAAATGAGCCTCAGCTGGATTACATCGGAATTTGGTGCGTCGTTGCAGGTTAAAATTAGACTGAAGGTGATTTGTCTAAAGTCGTCAATATTGTGCAATAATACCGGTACAAGGTTTAACGGTGGCATTCTTTCAAAGCCTAATTCACCATTCCACTGTATCAAACCACCGCGAGCAGGACAACCGCTGACTGAGGTTAATTAAGTTTGTTCCTCATTTTTGTTGTTGTAGTTCCCCAATACAAACGTCTCCTTTCACCAAACATTCAGGGAAATTTGGCTCATTCTGATAATATATCTGATAAAAGTACGACATAATGTGCCTCAACTTAATTTCTATGTTCCTCACACAAGTGCGTCGCCCGTTTTCTCCTGGTTATGCTCAGACTGATGAACGCCGGTACTCGCCCGTGGCCTCTAGATGGCAGTAGTGTCACATAGATTGTGAGTGCGCTGAGCTGAACTAAAATCCCTAAAAGCCCTCCCTATTACTAAAGTGTCTGTGGTTTCAATGGGCATAGGTGCTCATGCTCAAGTTAAAATAGACTGGGGATCTACATTTACCCACAGTGCATTTGATTTTGACTCAAAAATGGACCTATTCTCGATTATGCTCAGGATTCATTGTTGCACACTAAGCCCATGTAATCGGGATGCATGTGGTTCTTCACACCTGCTCTCAGTTGAATTCCTGCATTTGAATGAATGAAATTGTGCTTTTCTGGCCACTGTGGCAGTAATTACGGTCAAGCTTTGGCTACAAAGGGCTGGTCAGAGTCAAATGAAGAGCCAGTGTGTGAAGTTGCCAGTGGTGATTTTCCTTAAAAGCTTTCCCATTATGTCTTTTAAGCAGGGTAATAACTCCTCACTATTAGCTCCCCTCTGCTCTATTGCCCGCCTCACTCTTTCCAACACAAGCCAATCCCTATTTCTATGTCTATTTATATATATATATATATATATATATATATATATATATATATATAAATTGTTTTTTTCTTCCTGCAGTATAACCAGCGAGGCGGGAGCCTCCATCTACAGCGTGAGTCCTGAGGCAGTCAAAGAGCTGCCGGACATGGACCCCAACCTCAGGAGTGCAGGTAGGCAGCCAGACTTAATTGTCTTAATCTGATGGTTGTTAAATGTTTTGTTAGTTAACGTGCGTCATTCCTCGACATTAACTATGACAAAATGTCTGGTGTTTACAGGGTTGCAATTATCCGGATCATTGTTTTCTTCAGTAGTTCAGTAAATTGTGGGAAAATTAAAAAAAAAAAAGACAATTCCTCAGAGCTTGAGATGACTTCAAATTAATTGTTTTCAAGTTTTTTGCTTCATCAGCTAATTGTGTGAGCTGTAATAGTTAGTGATCCACTGGGGGTATACACAGGGGTTGTTTCAGAGAGACAACATAGTATGAATACTTTTTATATTCATATCATATAATGCGTCTCTAATGTCTTTAGTTGCACAAAGTGAGGATAATAACAACTGTTTTCAGACACTAATCTCAATGTAATGCCGAGTCATCAGTGACTTATCATGGCCACTTGGCTTTCCTACGTCTCTCCTGCTCTTTCTCCCACTCGCCACCTCTTCCTCATTCACTGCACCCACTGCATCGCCGAAAGCACAGCAAAATCAAATAAAATGAATCACACAGAGTTTTGTCGAACACAATGTTTCCAGCAGACTTCCTCTATAAAAGCCGTAAATCCAGCGAGGCCGGCTTAGTTTCCTGTGGTCAGCAGTGGAGATTCATGTTCATGGGAAATGTACAGCGCTTGATTTTGGATCGGTAGGAAAATGAGAAGACTGTTTGTGTCCTCGAGCGGTAACGTGTAACAACAGAGTAAAAGACGGCGTAAAAAGTCGGTAAAAGGCACCTTCTCTCCGTCATCCCGCTTCCTGGGAGATCCGGTGACATCTAGTGGTGACAGGGCAACATTTCAGCCATCTGTTTTTGTGTTCAGCTCGCATTCTGCTGAGTGACAGATGAGCCAAGTAAAAAAAAAAGGCACATGCTTTGGATTTGCCTTGTAGCTATAATTAGTATGCATATATGTTAATGTTGTGTTCATGTTTTTATTGCTGTTATTCTACACTTTCCAAATATTTGGACCGGTTGCATGTCGATACTTTGGCATCATTGTTTTAGAGACATTCATGCCAAAAAAGCTCCATTAAATTGAATTGAGTCTGAACCAGAATAGATGGAAAGTGGAGTGTTTTTTTTTTTTTTTTTTGATGGTGCACTGCGCAAGGCCAGGGCTGAAACTCCATCCCTGTCCAAATATTATCTCAGGCAGCAGCCTCGCACCGCAGCCAGAGGAGAGAGAGGAGACCCATTGATTCCAGACATACTCCCTCTTTTAAGGTCCCATCCCTTCCCTTTCTCTCGTCCCCCCCCCCCCGCCCCGCCCCCCTCGCTCCGTTCCTCCTCAGAGATCTGACGTCCGACGCGCCGCATGGGTGACGCGCCGCATCGCTGGCCGCTGTAGTTCAGACATGCGCACAGAAACGAACCGTTTCCTGTTGTTGTTGTTTTACTCACCATGGGGCGTTGTAGCCTATTTGTGTATGCGCATCTGTATAAATGTATTTTCTTTAATCCCTGTACATTATGTTTCTCAAATATAAGACTGACAATTTTGGAAATTTGAACAAAAATGGGAAAGCTGGAGCCGGCGCTCCCCCTTGTCTCGTCCAGCCGTTTGGTCGTGTGACTCGCTCTCTCTGTGTGCCTGTGTGCGTTCGGGGGTGAGGTCATGTGTTATGCTGTGTATGCGAGCACGGTTGTTTGTAATTTTTCTCCTTGTCACCGGGCCCCTGCCAGCAGATTCATGGAAAAAGACTTTCGGCCTCGTGTGCAGCGGCGGGCTGAGGCCTTACGGATTCTTTTGGCCGATTGTTGGTCTTTCGTTTTTGTGTGTGTGTGTGTGTGTGTGTGTGTGTGTGCGCGTGTGCGTGTGCGTGCGTGCACAGGCCTGGTTTGCAGCTCCAGCATCTATCAGGAAGCTTAATGACAGGTGCAAGGACTCCATTTGAAAGCCAGCTTTAATTATTATTACGGGTTGGAGGAATGACAATTGGGTTTGTCCTGCCCTCAGGGCACCAGTGTAATATGCAGACAATTTGCATATTCAGTAATTGTAATATAATATGGATTTGCATATTTAATAACTGATTCACAAAGCAAGCTCATGAAAAAAAACACACACTCTCACGAGACATTAAATCAGGTTTCATGTCTGTGTGTGTGTGTGTGTGTGTGTGTCTCTCTCAACAGTGTCCATTGGAAGACGTGTCCAAGATCCACTGGCTGAACTTGTGAAGATTGATCCGAAACACATTGGTATTGGGACGTACCAGGTAAGTTTTTTTCTTTGCTAAGCATCTGCTGTGAGTTAGACTTAGGCAAAGGGCTGTGTGTGTGTGTGTGTGTGTGTGTGTGGGCCTTTATGACTTCTGCAATTTAGTCGTCATCACCAAATGTGGTCAAATGTTAGACACATTTGATTGATTATTCAACTATATATCCTAAAAATTAAACTCACTCAATAGCAACGATAACTCTTCGTCGAAAAAGTTAATTCATTCAATTAACAGATGGAATAGGAGAAGTGAAGGACGGGAGAACAAAAAAAGCCATTAGTACACATTATAACTCCTGTATACTAAAATACAAGTCACCGATTATATATATATATATATTAATTTTTTTTAAATGCCTTTAATTTGGTGCCGTATGCTGTGAGTTACCCTTCAGACGTCTCGACAAGCTCAGGTGCAACTTTTGTTTATCAGTGGAAAGATTTGCACTCCGGGCAAAAAGGGAACGCGAGGAGCTGAAGATCTGTCGGAACAAATGAGTAAAACTCAAAGGCTGAGAGACGAGAGGCGAGCGGGGAAGTAGATAAACTTGTCCGAGGCCTGTGTCAACAGATGATGCTAAGGGGGACAGCTAATTCAATTAATGGAGATCAGGCATGACGTATGTTTGCTTGTGTGATTGCTGCTCTCAAGTGTGTGTGTCCGCGCAGATGAACTACACTCGGCTCAATGTTGTTTTTCTTCCTTACTAGTGTGTGTGTCTGTGTGTGTCTGTGTGTGTATGTTAGAAGTGGAAGACAGACATGAGGTCAGGCTGCCTACTATTTACGCCAGCTATTACTAATGCAGTGATTCATCTTTTGTGAGATGTTCGATCAGTCTTCATTGGAATTGAGGGAAAAGCCCTAATAGATCAGGATTACTGCCAGGGTGCTACTGTGCACTAAGTCATGTATGCATGTGCTGTATACGACATATATGTAGTACTACATATACAATCTATGAATCTAAGATAAGACAGAAGAGCGTGATGAATGGTAAAGGAATAATTGGGGGGGGGGGATTGGATGGAGAAAGGAGGAGGTTGTATCGTGCAAGCGTTTCTGTGGCTGGTCGGGTCTCGGTCCCGTGTCTCTCATCACGTCCCGACGGGGCCCTCTGGGGTGCCGCGGGGGTAGGGGGGGGTTCTGCACCTCCTGCTCTCAGATCATGTGACTAGGGCAACAAATGATAATATAACTGTGTAAATAAGCTCTTGAGTGCTGACAGATACGAGATGGGACATCACTCTGACCTGCATGTCAGCCGTCACGCACACACACACACACGCACACACACACACACACACACACACACACACACACACACACACACACACACACACACACACACACACACACACAGACACACTAGTCTCCCCGTCCACTTTTCAAAGTCTAAAGGGGGACGTGTGTGTGCGTAACCGTGTATGAGTGTGAGAAAAGTGCACTGATGCCAATGCAAGTTTGTTTTTTTGTTGCGCATGTCCTTTGTGTGATTCATGACATTTTGAGCTTTCTGCGAGTTTATTGCCATTAGACCCAAACAGCAAAAGGGCAAATGTAACTCTAGACAGCTGGCACAGCGTGCTCTCTCTCGCTCCCTCCCTCTGCTGACCCTGCTGAGTGACAGCTCTGAGAGAAAGGAGGAAATGAGCTGAGGGCTGAAAAAGTGAGGTCCATTAAAATCAGATTGGACGTAACTATTGGTGTGGGAACGCTGTTTTCACTGCGGTACCTGTGGCAGACGGGTTTGCCAGCTACACGTCCCTTCGAATGGCAGTACCAATAGTGTGTGTGTGTATATGTACTATACATATACATATATATATATATATATACTCTTCATTTTATTTGCAGCTTGCAGAGACAAACATTTGTCAGTCTTGTGTTCTTTACAATTAGACACTTGGCGGGTCATCTGTCAATCAGCTCTTTATGTCGCTTTGGCCTGTTGACAGCCGGGTGATCCCCGGGGTTGTGAATCCAACCGCTACTGGAAAATACACACACAGACACACACTGCTGTGTAAGAAAACATCGCCCGCCAGCCGGATATTAAAGAAGCTGTCACTCTCCTCCTCACCTCGCTCGACCCGCTCTCCTTCTCCCGTTTTTCATCCTCCTGCTCCGTTTCTTGCCGCCCTGTCCCACTGACCCCCACCTGCAAACACACGAGCGCTGCTGCAGCAGCTTTCACCTGCTCAGCCATGCGTCCGCTGAAAGGAACCTAGCGTCTGGCACTGCAGCGGCGCGTTGGTAGCACACGTTGAGCGAGGTTGTGTCTTTGCTCAAGCGATGGATTGAAACAGGCCCTTGCCAATCCTCCACATATTAGAGAAGTGATAACACGCACCGGCTGTCGAAACGCAGCAGCCACAACTGATATTGGAAATCGAACTCTAATAGCTGGATGGAGCTGAGCTACTTAGATCAAGTTTTTAAATGCTTTCTACGTTATTTGCAGGAATGTGTTTCCAGTGTGCAATGTGTTATATATATATTAGTGATAGAATACGGTGCTTTTTAAAAAGGGATGGTCCCTTCTCCACAGTGAGAGGAGCCTCTAGTGTCTCATCGGTACTCGGTACGAGGCGTTGATCGCCTTTGTTTGCTTTGTTTGACTGTAGAAAGTAGATCGGTGCATCCCCACATATCTCGCTCGTTATCTGCAAGGTGATTTAAACAAGGTGTTGATGGGTAAAACACACCAACATCAGAATGGAAAAATAGGATCAATTGGATTATAAGCTGAAAAAAAGTAAAGTAAAAATGTGGTTTTGGGTGTAAAGAATCAGGACCTGAAATCAGCTGATCTGACAGCTTTGCCTGTTTGGAAATTTCCCCTGTTTCAATTTTCTCATGCTGCTTTGCGGCCCCTCAGGTTATTTCTGCGTGTGCGCGTGTGCGACTGTTTTGCAGGAAGTAGAGGAATAGCCATCAGGCATTCGTGAAAGGTGTCGAGAAACCATGAAGCCACTTCCTTTCTGTCATATCGCTGCTGATTTACGACTACCTACACACACACACACACACACACACACACACACACACACACCTTCCTACATACACGCCGACTCTCAGCCAAGCCTTCGTGATGGGAACAGAATGCCGTTTTCAGAAGCCCTACAGAAGCTGTCAGTCAGGATGCGCATGACCTTCAGATGACCTCATACACACAGTCTGTTAAAAGTGATGGATGTGAAGTGGCAGTTTCACAGCATTGCTCTGCACGAGCACTAGAGAGCAAACATTCGGAAAGAATGAACTCCCAACTTCTGTATATTAATACTCGTAATAATAATTACGTTTCTTGGCTCAATGCAATAAAAGGAGGCCTGATGCCATTCGGTCACACAATCATCTCGCACGCTGTTAGAGGCATCATGAAGGGTATTTCTGGTCTGCCGGCGGTGAGACCTCCGCCATCACTCATTTACACGATGCGGACTTGTGGGAATACGGCGTTTTATGTTTGTAAATTCCTCACAAGAGAGGCGTGCTTTTGGTTTTCTTCCGATCTCTCCTCCTCGTTGTCTCTCTGATTGACATGTGGTAACTCGGCAGCATTTAAGTACTCAAGCTGCAGTCAGGCGCTGTTCGCTCTTGCCTGTCCGTTGACCGGCTTCAGCTGGTTTCCGGCCGATCCAAACACGTCCTTCTGAATCAAGGCAAAGATGAATAGATAAACGCTCAATATTGCCGAGTCATGGTTAAGAGGATGCCACGTGACGGTTCCTGGTGCCCTGTTCAGCTCTCAGTCAGATTACTTAGAGACACGCGGCGTGAGTGTGTGACTTTCTCACGTCTCGGTGCACACGTACAGTACTGGAATTGTTCTTCACCAGGCCAGCCAACAGCATTTTGCCTCAGCGGTTGGCTGAGGAGGAAATTTAAAGTCAGATGTCTTGAAGTAAACCATGAGAGGCCAGTTTCCTTCACCAGACGAGCCAATGTGGATTTATGAGAGCTGAAGTTTGCATTAAGCATTAAGAGTTATTGCCCAGCTCACTGAGATAAGCTTGGCAAAACTTTTTCCCCCTTTGGCAATATAAAGCGTTAAATTAAGTCTAGATTTAAGAAGGCTCAAATTGAATTGCTGTCTTTTTTTTTTTGCAAAATGAATCTCTGCATAAAACAGAAGAAGATTTCTAACTCTTTGTCTTTAAGAAAATCATCATAGAATCATTAGCAAGCAACACAAGCAAGAAAAACTTTTATAACAGGAGGCACTTTTCATGGTAAACCAGTAACTTGAAAGCTGCGTACACCTACGATACGTTGAGAGATAAAGACCGAATCTGTAGTTTACGAATGCACAGCTGATCAAATCTTGAACCATCTTTAACACTACACATTTAGAATGAAATATCTGCGTCAGGTCAGATTTGCTTGAAAATAATGAGCAATATGAAGAATAACATAAAAAAAAAACTAAAATAAAAAGCGCGTTCCAAATTTTTTACATCCGTAATCCAGCACAGTTGCGTACCTGTGCGTTAGTGGTGGAAACGTGCCGCTCTGCTCCCACCTCTATAAGGTTTCAGTAGCAATGTGAGAACACATTCATTGGGGTTTTATTGCAGGTTCAAACTGCCACCGGCCTGCACACCTCCACCTCTCCTACCTGAACACATTCTCCTCCGGTGTGTCATTACAGGTGATTTCCTCTTCCTGCTCATTGTCGGCCCGGGAATCATGAATCACTCAGCCGTACCTTCCTTTTCTTTCGGAAGGTTTTTAATATAGTTCAGAAAGCGCCTCCGGCCGTATTGCCGCAGCATTCTCACAACCCATCCGAGTTGTGTGACCCTTGAATCCAACAATTCAGGTTAATAACATTTTTATTTCATTGGATAATCAAGGGATGAGATGTTATTTCAAAGGGAAGCAGCATCCAGTAAAAAAAAAACTCAACTCTCTATAGAAAGACGAAACAACATTATTATAATATTGAGTTTAAAATTTCAAATATTTCTCCTATTGTTGACGAGTTACTCGGGTAGCGTCTCATGTGGTGTCCTTGTCTGTCCTCCTCCGGCCTGGTCTGATACCCTCTGTCCTCGTCTGTCCTCCTCGTCTCCCATCCCACCACGTCTGTGTTGTTCTTGCCGACAGAAGGGTGTGTTTGCTGGCTGTCATGAAATTTATACAATCTCACTTTGGTGTTTTGGTTAAGCTTATTTTATTTTGTTCTCTGCGGCACTCACCTCTAATTTCATTTGTTTTTCCTTCAATGGTCGGTCGTGTTCCCTGCGCCTTGTTGAGGGAAACCCGCGAGGGCCCGTTTGGAGAATACGTGCTGATTAACGGGCGATGGTGGACTCTAGTGGCGAAGAGTTCATACCAAGGATGTTTAATCGGCGGCGAGCTACAGTAACGAGAACACTGTGTTCGCTGAAGAGAGCGAGAGATTGTTGACAAGCCAAACTAAACATTCTCCCTCTCTTTTCACGTCTGCGCTCCCTTTCTCCCCCTTTTTCTCTCTCTCCCTTGCTCCGTCTGCAACTGGCCGTTCTACTTGTCAATTAAACCTCTTTTGCTCCCAGTTTGACTGCATTTTACTGGTAACACTTTGTGTTTTGAGGATGCCATTGTAATGACCCCCTTTGGGAGATTGGGCCGACGCAGAACCAAAAACGGAATATAAAATTGAGTGAATACACCATGCAATGCAACACACTGTGTTATGCCACTATTATAACAGCAGGGCTAATGGTGTCAGCGGTTATCTTTAGAATCAAATCAACTTACATACATGGCGTGTGTGTGTGTGTGTGTGTGTATTTTTTCTAGCATGATGTGTCGGCCGGAGCTCTGAAGGCGGCATTGGACGGCGTGGTGCAGGAATGTGTGAGCTTCGTTGGGGTGGACATCAACATCTGCTCCGAGACGCTGATGAGGTAGACGACTCGCAGAGATACATTATATACATGTGCTCACAAGCTTGTGCCCCCCTGACTGCGCGCACACACACACACACACACACAAATTGTGAAACCGAGATGAAGTAGGGCTCAGACCTCTGACATACTTTCCCTTTGCAGTCACAACATGGCAAAGCTTCCCCACACTCGTGCACAGGCGCATGCTCGAATGCACACACACACACACACACACACACACACACACACACCGCATGCCAACTTTTGACTAAAGCTTCACACCCTGGCCTCTCACATTTGGACGACTGGCATCAACAGGGGGGGATTAGGCGAAGTAGCCATACGCACGTACACCCACATGTTACTGCAGCAAAATACACAAACGTATGGTTTAAAAGTACAAGAAGGGCACCAACTTGATACACACACACACACTCGCCGTGGATACAAGTGGTTTAAAATGAGCTGGCATCAGCTGCAGGGCAGCGATCAGGTCATCTGTTTACCCGTCTACTCTGCAAGTGAGCTTTTTCCAGTCCTGCCAGAGGTTCTACTACACACATTAAACACACACCGACGTGTTGATGACTGAGGTATTATGTGGCGTGTTGACGTTGCCGTGTGTTTCAGTGTGAGTGAGTCACTGTGGGCATTAACGGGCCTAATTGAGTTTCAACCGGCCTCCCTGTATCGCTCAGCCAAAACTGGATGAATATGCCCACTAAATGTTGGCTTGTGAGTGTTTCCCCTGCTGGTTTAAACGCCAGGTCTCACAGTCTGCACAATCTGCTCTGCTTGTGTGAATAACATAGAAATGTTTCCTTTTCTTATTCATTGTTTTCTCTGCTAGGCATGTAGCAGGCCTGAATGCCGGCAGAGCGCGAAATATCTCGGAGTGGAGAGAGCAGAACGGCCCGTTCAACAACAGGGAGCAACTCAAATTGGTCAAAGGCACGGGGCCCAAAACCTACCAGCAGTGTGCCGGCTTCATTAGAATCAACCCGCAAACCCTCCGCAGGTGTGCAAGCTCACACACACACACACACACACATGCTACATGGATAGTTGTACTCTTTATCATGTAGGAGGCATCACCATAGGATGGTGTGTGTGTATCATTTACTGTATGTATAAAATACGAGGAGATGGAGTGGAACTAAATAAAACACGCCCGCATGGATTGAAACCTTTGTAGATATCGAGTGGAAATGTTTTTTTTTTTTTGGTGAATCAACCCCTTTGAGCCAACGTTGCCGTTGCCTCCTGAAGTCTTCCTCAGGAAATTACAGCACCTTTCATTCTGGTCCAAACAGCGCCAACTCTTCCCCTCGACCTGTGCCGGAGAAACCAGCGGCCAAGAAGGGCAAAGGAAAGACTGGCGTCAACGTGCCCACCTCATTTAACCCCCTGGACCAGACCTGTATCCACCCGGAGTCCTACCATGTGGCACAGAGGTACCGCACACACAACTCCCCCCCCCAGCCTGCCCCCACTGGCCGGAGCGTGTTCGGCCCGAGGTGGAGTTGATTTTGACACCGCCTCATATGGGGCTGGTTAGAGTGGTGGAGGATTCTGATTTGATTTACGCAGACACTGGATACCTGAGAGGAGGCGTCGGCGGCTCTCGTGCCCGTCGGTCGGACGCCGTGTGTGTCCTCGTGTGAGAAAGGACTGCTGCCGACGCCGATATCGAAAGCACATTGAACATCTGCCCGATACTTGTGTTGTCCTTGTGTGTGTGTGTGTGTGTGTGTGTGTGTGTGTGTGTGTGTGTGTGTGTGTGTGTGTGAGAGAGAGCGGCAAGGAGAGCCCGCCCGCTCTCTTACAGCTGTTGTCACTCATTCGTGTTTAGTCTACACAGGCTCTGACACCGGTGGCTTTAAGCGGCGCTGCGCTCACGGCGATGCACCTCTAATGGCCTCCGTGCATGTGTGTGAGTGGATGCGTCGCTGTGCGAACACGCGTGAAGACGGATCGATGCCGCTTGTGTGACTGTTTATGCTTGTCTCAGCCACTTCAACTGAGCGGCCGTGTCTGCCAGTAGGCCGTATCGTACAGTGCGTTATGGGGGGGTCAGAGGTTTAAGGAGACAAATAACCGCACACTTATTACAATACACCTTCTGTTCCCTTTCTATTGTCTGATTTGTCCTCTCTTTTCTCACACGTGTACATGTGCACACCTTGCTAAATCCACAGCTCGCATTTCCTTCAATTTCTGTTTCATTCTTGCGTTACACCTTTTATATTTCTTATCCATTCATCAATTTCTCTCTCTGTCTCTGTGTGTGTGTGTGTGTGTCAGTCTCAGCGGTGTTTGTTATCCCAACTCAGTAAGGTGCCCAAATGTTGCTGCTGTCGTGGGGCCGTCTGAAACGTCAGTCATCATTGCTCACAGCTAGCCGAGTGTGTTGTTTTAAAAGAGAAAAGAAAAATAGGCTTTTCACCAAGATATTTGACAATTTGTGTGTTGAGAAAAATATGTTTTTGATCTATTTAAAAAAGTTATAATATCCCATTTTATTCAGTGTCTAGAAATGGATGAGAAAAAATGACTTTACTTTTGGCCCACAGCACAATAATGTATTTACACATTATTGCTAATTTTGCTGAGAAGGCGCTTGTGTGTCTCGTCTTGTCATTCCCTGCTTTGCTTCGTTTCCTGCTGTTCACATTTCCTCTTCTTGGGATAATCTTGTTTCCTTGTCCACCACTATCTCATAATCCATGTTTGGCAATTTGCTCAATTCAATGCAAATATTCTGTTATTGGCCTCAGTTTTACAAACCCTTGCAGAATTTGATAAGCCTTTTTGATTTAGTTTTTTAGAACGTCCCAAAGCGTGTGTTGTGGTTTCACAGTGTGTCACGTCCCTCTTTAAATGTTAATGACGATGGTCTGATGACGGTGCACCCAAAGAAGCGCATGTCAGCACTCTTTGGAGTTTAGGTGGCCTCGTGACGCTTTGATGTTACTTAAACATCTTAACGTAAAGCCTCTGCAAAATAGACCATTACGGTGTAGTGATTTAAAATTTTTCATTTTTTTTATTTAGACTCAGCTTTACAATTTGCATGTGAATCTTTTTGGGGATTTTCTTTCAAATGTTTCCTCCCAGAGTGACCACGTCGCATAGTGGAACACACGCAAGCCTCTACATAAAAAAAAATATTAAATCAAGTAGATCATCCGATGCCCGACTGTTCTTATCACATCTTCACATACAACCAACAAAAGCACGAGGCACGCAGGGGGGATTGTGGAGGAATGCTGTGTGTGTGTGTGTGTGTGCGTCTTTATGGTCTATATGGAATATCATGTTCATCACATTAGTGAAACTGTATCCTCCATTACAGCTCACAGCCCCCACATCACCCGCTTTTTGTAACCATATACAACCCCCAACACACACACGAACACACACGCACGCACATTCACACATTTAGACCATAGATGCACAGATACGATTTGTCCACCTTCGTTTTAGGGAGATAAGTCTTAGGCTTAAAAACAAATATTGATATGCAGATATTCCTGCAGGTTATGTTATTAATAACAAGCTGTGGAGGATCTACTTTGATGGAATATCTAACATCAAAACGTCAAGGAAGCGTGGCTTTATAATGAATAGTGTTTTTCTGCAGTTGGCTCCATTCCGTTGCAGATATAGTGTTGCTGTGACGGGAGACAGAGGGGTTCCACTCTATGATAAAAACGCTTATATCCAACAGCCCGGGCACAATATTTCATAACACAAGACAGAGTGGGTTCTCGCTGTGGGCCTGGATAAAATCTATACGCTGGCCCACCCAACTACACACACACAGCGTTGGTAGCAATTATACGAGTATGAACCCAACTCTAGTGGAGGCCTCTGCACTCCTGGTAGCCCTTAAATACTAACATATACCCTTGGAAAAATGAGATGGGCAACGCACACACACTCTCACACCCCTGAAAGTAGAACTCGCCACCCACCAAACCAACTGAGCTACAGACGGCTCGTAATTCAATACTGCTTTCGCCCTCTGCCGCCATCATTCCATCTTCAATGTTTTTCCACTCAGACTTTGAAGGGATGCTCCTAAATTTGGTTTCGCAAAATGCCCGAATTTGTGTGCCCTGTTTTCACCGTGCATGAAGTTTGAACGGTTTTAGGTTCAGCGTGTATCCGTTGAGAAAAGCCTTCAGTTTGGTCTCGGAGCATAAAACCCCAAAAAGCTGACACTATTTCAAATTGATTAAAGTCCTGGTGGCATAAAAAAAAAGTTTTTCCAAATGAAACGATAAGTCAGCGATACGTCTCTCTATGAATGTCTGTAAGAAATTATAGAGCGAGATGTGGGGCCCATGATATACTTCTGCTTGTTACACTCCATCAGGGAGGACATATTTCCTCCCGTGCTGCATTCGATACTCTAGTGAGTGCTGCAGATTTACTAAGAGAAAATGTCAACACGGGGGAGAGAGAGGGGAATTATTAGGAGCAGGAGGATGAGGAGATGGAGATGGATGACCTGGCTGGACTCAAACCACAGGGAGCCGCGTGCTTCTTACGCCCCCCTGTACCCAAGTGCTTCCTGTACGGCGACTGTGTCGCCCGGGGAGACGCGAGAGACAAGTGTTAGACGGGCGTCCATTTCTGTCCAAAGGCGACGCTTCCTCACCGCTAAGCCATTTCTGGCACACGCCTGCCTACTATTTTGCAGCGATCCGGCTCGCGGGCGTTGAGGGATTGATTCCTCTTGTCTCCCCTTTTCGGACGGCAGACGGTGACTTGGCTGGCGAGGACCTCTACAAGCCCCCCCTCTCCCCTCACTGCCCCCCTTCCCAGCTGTCCCACACATAGCTGGTACACAAGTCGTGTCCTGTTACATTCGCGCTGTCTCTGCCAAATGAGCATTTCTGAACAACATTGTTTATGAATCAACTTTGTGTCTGTGTGCTCTGAGATGTGCGTGTCCACCTGTCGTGTCCATCACGTGGGGGGGGGACAGCTGCGGAGTCTGTAAGGCGTCAGGCGGCCAGCGAGAGACGTCCATCACAGACGCTACCCGGCTGGTCCACACACACACAAATCGCTCGTATCTTTCCCTGGCTGTGTAAATATAAAGATATACTGTACTCACACACGGATTTCTCACGACCTCTGTTTGCCACTCTGGCCACTCGACGGCAGTTTGTTACTGAATTAGTATTCGTTCTGATTCAGATCTCCGGCCCGGTGACTGACCGTCTAGACATGTTGGAGGTGGGACATCCTGCCGGAGTGTAAAGTGATGGAGGCAGATTTTTCCAGGCGCTGGAACAGATGGACAAACAGTCCGGCCGTAGCAAAGTGGAGGCAGTTTCACGAGACAAGGTGTCAGGGTGTTTACAGCCCACTGCGGCTTTACCTGATTTTAATAGGGGGTAAAATAAATGTGTATTTGTGCTTGTGAGTGTGTGTGTGTGTGTGTGTGTGTGTGTGTGTGTGCCTCCAGAACAGAAAGTTTTCTCCTCGGCAGCGCGGGGCTTTGTGTGTAATTACCCCCACACCTCTCCCGCCCTCTCTCATTTCCCCACGAGCTCCCTCTAACTTTACCTGTTCTTAGCTTCTTAGCGCCACAGCTTTTCTCAGCTTTTGTTTTTTTCCCCTCTGACAGCTACGCGTTTCTTTTCCCCCGATCATCCTTGCCAGTCTGTCGTCGCGTCCCACCCCACCCTCTTCCTCCCACCCCTTCCTGTCCCCCTGCTCAGTTACTCCATCCCTCACATGGCCACGTCTCCGAGGAAGGTGCTGCATGTCCAACTGGGACTGCTGTCATGAACTTGTGTGTGCTCACCCGAACAGCACTCTATGTTGTATGTTTTTCTTTTTGAATAAACTTCTCACTCCTTTCCAGCTTTCTGTCCCTCGTGGGCGGGAGTGCGGACCAGATCGGGAGCGCAGGCCTGCGACAGTGCGTGGAGAGCAAGGTTCGGACCAGCGGGGTCGGGGAACTGGCCAAGACGCTGGGCAGCACACCTGAGACCCTCAAACTCATCATAGACGGCCTCACGCAACCCCCCGGGTTCGACATCAGGCAAAGTAAGACTCTGAAACGAGACCACGAAGAAGAACGAAATTCATGTACGAGACAGAATGTGGAACAGATAATCAGAGGCGTGGAAGCTCGCCGTGATTCGAATTGTCCAGTGACAAAAACAACCAGTTTACAGTGTAAAGTAAAAGATTCCTAAGTGGAACAAATACTGGACATTGATCCATGTGAAGTCTAAATTGACACAATATTTGAATGAAAACATTACATTTTTGTTTTCGAAGGGGGACCCAACAGAATTCCCAATAAATACAAAACAGTGACCCACAATATCAAAAATGTAAATATAGTTCTCAGACAACCAACCAAGAAGAATATATAAATATTTGTAAAAAAAAAAAAAAGGGATATGAACATAAAGTATAAACAGTGAAAGCTGAGTTGATCTCAAAGGAAAAGACGGGGCAAACAAGGCATGAAATGGATCTGAGGTCACATCTGCTAGAACTAGTTTTGTTTTGGCAAAATTCAGTGTCACCGAACACAAAACTATCATTGTTTTAAATCATATAAAACGAATAGACTGCATTTATCTGCAACCCGGTCACAGTAACTGCTCTCGTCTTTCCTTCTAAACGTCCCTTTATTGGTCCCCGCTGAGCGTGTATTTGTCCAGTTCTCTGACTGGTTTGCTAGTTACTGCACACACACTCTTGCCTTTTCTTGTGCCTTCATCATAACAGGCATGTCTCTGCAGTAAAACTTAATGGGATCTGACAGTGCTGTGGCTTCCTCCCCGTAGCCCAACGGCACCAGTGGTATGTTTCTGAGAGGGTGTGATGGCTCCAGCAGACTCCGCTGTAAAACAAAAGATCTTGACTCACACTTAAAAAAAAGAAATACACACAGACCTCAGGTGCAAAAAAATCATATCAATAAATCAAGTTTCAGCTGTTTGGCTGATGCTCAAGACGGTCTATGAAGTAGAAACATTAAATGTTGATTTGGGCCATATTCTGATTTCCAGACTTGTGAGTTAAATACAAAATAGCTTCACGTGCCTCATTGCTCTGCTTTCTTTGCATCTTCATGTGGACACATTCAAAAATGGATACCTAGTCAGTGCTGGCTGGCTTCTCTAAATGAAGGAGCCCGGCTCCCAGGTTCATTCCCGGGTTGACCCTATTCGGTTGCAGCGCGCCGCGCTCGTCCTCCTGGCGAGTGCTCAGCTGAACAAACAGATGGGCCGAGCCTACCACGTGAAATCAGTGCCGTGGGGAGGATAATTGGACGGGACGCGATGCTTTCCTTGTTTGCGTTAATGCCGCAGAAAGGAAACAGATCTCTGGTGAACAGGCCAGGCGGAAAGAGGGGTATCGTGGAATGCTGAGGCATGTGGAAGTATGCGGACGCCGGTATTGGGTTGCCGCTCGAAATGTAATATCTGTTTGTCATTTCATGCGCCGGCCCCCCCCTCGCTTTCTTTCTTTCGCCAGCTGCCTCCCGCACCTCATTTTGCCCCCCCCCCCCTCACTTTCTGACTCTCTCTCTTGATCTCTTTTTGCCATCCCCAGATTTTGGGCAAGCGGACTTTAAGCGGGGCGTCGTGTCCATGAGTGACCTGCGGGTGGGCGCGGTGCTGACCGGCCGGGTGGACAACACCGCGCTGTTCGGGGCTTTCGTGGATATCGGCGTCGGCCGCTCGGGCCTCATCCACAAGAGCAACATCACCCTGGACAAGCTGCCGGCGAGCCAGCGCCGCCGCAGCCTGGCCCTGGGCCCCGGGGAGCGGGTGGAGGTCCGGGTCCTGGACGTGGACCCTCACAGGGGACGGATCGGGCTGGACCTGATCAGGATCCTGCAATAGACTTACCTCCTGTTATTTATACACTGTGTTTGGACGGGATTTATGACCGGATATTACACAGAAAGAGGCTGAGAGGCAGATTGATTCAGGGTCTCTACAGCATCAGCGGAGGAGAGTGATGTGTTCTTAAAAACCACGAAGCAGAGCTGAATAAGACATTTTAACAGACTTCACTTTATATGGTAACAACACACATTCTTCCACTGTTTGCATTGTTTGCGTTGGCTTTAAATTTTACCGCTGCGTTCATTGCTGGAAGAATTTCTTTAGCCTGAAGTAGTTTTCTCAGGTAGAATTATTATTCTCCTCCTGGTTATGCTCATTATGCATATGAGTTGTACTTGTATCAAACACTGAACCCGATTGCCTGATCAAGGGTAAAAATGTCTCTTTTTGTCCATCGACTGCACACACTGTGTCTAAGATTGGACCGGTTACTGAGAGGGGACCCAGAATTATTTGCACTTTTGCTGTAGATTACTTAATACTTCATGTTTATTAATAGTATGGCATATTGGTTACGTGCTCTTGAAGAAATGTTTTGTTCAGTGCTGCTCTGAACGGTTTGTAAAGACACTTTGTATCTTTGTTATTCAAAGCAGACTTTGTTTACAGGGTTTACGGACACTGAGGAACTCGTAATCCTAAACAGATTTCCATTCGGCTTCATCTGCAGACGAGGTTTTCACATTAAAGATATTTCCTGTGTACCTTACTCACTTGATGTATATTTTCTCAAAGTGGAAAATTCCGCAGCGGGATCTGATCCCCACCGGAGAGGAGCGGCTCGGATGCGGATTGAAGAAGAGGAGGAGGAGGGCGGCGTGAAGCAGGGAGAAGAGGAAGCTGGGAGAAGTAGAGGAAGGGATTTGTCGAGTGATGGAAAGACACCGGGTTTAAAAAACAAGTTTTTCCCTTTAGACAACAGGAAAATGTGAGAAGACGGAACCAGCGGGTTGGAGAGAGGGGATGGGCGCAGATGAAGAGTGGGAGGGGCAGAGGGGGGAGGAGAAGGAGGGGGGGTCTATCTCCCAGACTGCAGTAAAGCCTAAAGGCTTTTTAGTCTTGGTCCCAGACACAATTATCCCAGGACACACACACACAAATGCACGCTAATCAGCTGCTTCAAAATGAATCCCAGGCTCCCCATCCACATTATCTAATTTGTTTGTTTTCATGAAACTGGAATAAATAAAAAATAAAATACATCAAATATGGTTCCGAGAAAGCCCGAGGTCCCTCGCGCTGAACTCTATACTGAATGCCGAATACCTAATCACCGTTAGTGCCGCTGCTTCGCCCCCCCCCCCCCCCCCCCCCCGGGCGGAAAAGGAAAATTTTTCAAACACCAAAACACAAAAAGAAATTTGAACAAGGGTTAACAAAAATGGGAGTTTTGCGCGGCCTGAACAAAAAAAAACACACACAAGCCCGCTTTACGGAATGGAAACTATTCCCTTTGGCCACCTCACTAAAGGGGTGCCCACTCCCAAACAAAGGGGCTTTGTTAAATTTTGACGGTTGACGCCTGTGTCATTTCCACGTCCTTTCGTTTGGTTTTCGGGGGCACAAAATGGATTTCCGCGGCGCGGCAGGGCTTCCCTGGTTGTTCCACCATTTTAAATTGCCCTCCCCGCGCCAAACATTGAGGCGCAGAACCGAACGGGTAACCTCGCGCCGCGGGGGCGGCGCTCTTTATGTCCAGCTGGCGACCCCGAAGCCGGAACGAAATGAAATTGATTAAACCGCCGTGACACAGTGGCAGAGAGGCTGGTTCTTTGTGCAGCCTGCTGAGGCAACGCCGCGTCGAGATTGCGGCCTGTCAGTAAAAAAAACAAAAAAAAACACGAGAAGACGTCTTAAGCACTGTGAAGGAGCCCTGAAGGCTGCAGCGCTTATTACTGTACAGCCAATAGCACGAGTCGGCACCGCACAGGAAAGCAGCGCATTCATTATTTGGCCATCTGCTGCTGAAGTGAGAAAAAAAAAAAGTTATTCCTGAAATTGGAGGAAGAGAAACAAAACAGTAACAAATTAGAGAGCGCCGCGGTAATCCGTTTGAATAATTCTGTTTTGTGTGAACTCATCCAAGGAGGTACAGTACCAGGGAAAAGTCTCCACCGGGTAAAAGCATTTGTATTATACGTGTTGAGACTCCTTACATCAGTCAATCAAACCCTCCGACAAAAGCCAAGATGAAGAATGCAGTAAATATTGGTGGATTCATTAAAACAACCTAATAATCTGGAGCCAGTTTGATAATCGTAGTAGCCAAAAGTTACCGTTTTACACTTATTTGTGTGGATTGTCTACCACTCATGTGTCTTTTATGATTACATAAATCATAAATCTGTTCCAAATAAACGGTTCGCGCAGTGCTGCGATATTTCCAGACACTTTGTACAAACGCATGATTAATCGCGTAAATAACTGAAGGCTTTATAAATGTTAAGTAAAGACCCAGTTGGTTGACTTCCATTCTTTAAACACATCAAAGAACAATGTAGACAATACAACACAAACGCGTAACACCACATATGAGAGCACAAGAGCTGCGTTTTATTGTGAAAATCAGGAATGCGTGTTCTACTGAAGGCCAACGTCAAAAAGCTCTCTGCTTATGTTCCTGTGTTGCGTGACACTGAAGATACCAGAAAGTGAGGAAGACCTTCCGACGAAGCGGAGGCAGAAAGGGCGGAGGAGAGGTGGATGAATGGAGGTGGGAAACGAGAGGGATGGAATGAGACAGGAAATGAAAGGCTTTCTCCGGTTTCACTCCCAGTGACCTCATCAGTGTGATCATGGGTTTTATGAGCTTTCCCTCTCGACGCCCACACACCACCTCACACGTGCCAGGACACACACACACACACACACACACACACACCGACTCTGTTCAGCCCGTGTATTTCATTCACTGGCTCAGAGACAAACACTCGTACATGTGTTTTTGTCTCCTGGTGCTTTTCTCACACTCCCTCCGTCAACCGTCCACATGCTGCATCTCACACGCGACCCTCATAGAAGCCGACGCCTTGTGCACGGATGCGCTCTGTTATCACACAAAAACATTTTTAACCAAGCAAAAATAATCAAGTGTATGATCGGCGTAACGTTTACGTATCCCACAGCGAGACATCTCGGTGCAACAAGGTGTCCTGAGGGAAGAGGATGGTGACACGTCACCAGTGGAGCTCATGAAGGCGAGTGATGCATGAAGACTGTTTGTATTTATCACGATTGAATCTTGGATGTGGAAATTGTGGCGAGTTGGAACCAGAGGACGAGGTTCCTGCCTGCAGAGATGTTTCCGTAGGTGCCAGGTGTTCACCAGCCTTCCTCCGCACGCAACTAACATTTTGATAAACTTTTACATTTTATAATTTTTTTTTGCATCACCCGAGTGTTTATACATATTTGACCGTATGCATGAAGATGTGTGCCTCTACTCTCCTACGTGGGCCCAGACGCACCAATCCAACCTGAGTCTGCAGCCTGAGCGAATCCAATCAAACGGACGGCGAAAATGCTCAATTCTGTAACAACATTGTATGTAATGCGGCTCAGTTCCATCACGTTACCTGATGTGCATGATACGGCCGGTGGGGCGGATGCTTCCTTATTCAACCGAAGATCAGCGTGTCGAATTCAGTTCAATTCATTATTGTTCCACCAATAATATTACATAAACTAGGAGAGTTTCGAGCATCACATCTGTTATTTTTAGAAGTGGATGGAAGGTTGCCGTAGAGATCCGATCTGACGTCGAACCCCCACAACGTCACGGAGCGGTGAGTTGAACACACGGATACATCCCCAACTACACGGCTCCCTCCAGAGTAGCACAATACGATCCGTTGAGGGACAACGGGGCCTCTTCCTGTTCCCGGGTTCGTGACCGCGGCTCGGTGGCTTACAGTGATTGACAGATGAATGTTTGGGTTAGAACGCCACCTCTGGGGATTCACTATAGGGAGACTTTATACACAACCAATATGGAACGGAACGCTGGCGGGGATCTCTCTCTCTCACATGGTAGTCACACTAAGTGGTCAGTGCCCCCCCCCACACACACACACACATGTATGAGCATACCTCATCAGCATATCTCATGTTCACCCCACAGGGAACACGGGCCTGAGACCACAGAAACCTTGACGGGGAAGGAAGGAAGCTGGCGCTAAGAGGGAAGTCACTTTTTTTCTCCTCCTTCATGAGAGCTGGATGGAAAATGCTCATTTTTATTCATGCGCGTTGGGTTTTCGGTGATCTAGACGCTAGGACAATGTGAGCATTAAATGCTGCGGGTTCCTCCGAGCCGTCCTGCAGCGTTATTTCAAAACGCCCATATAACAACCGCTGATTCCCCATAAAATGTCCCGACACGGGCACAGACGGGCACAGACGGGCTGCTCTGCGGACCCCAATGGTTGGCCTTGTGTATCCATCGTACGTTGGTTCTATATTCGACGCCAACGCGGCACAGACCCCCCCCCCCCCCAGGGCAAAGACTGGGTAAGCTAGCAGTGGCAGTTGTTTGTTTAGCTGTGTGTTTCAGTGAGCCATTAATGCGCGGGCCTAATAGTTCTGTCAGAAGCGTTAACACACACGGGACCAATTTCCTTGACACAGATTACACATGGATTTGGCTACCAGAGTAGTGCTTCCTGAACGTGGATTTAACCTGGAGGCAAAATCTTAAGGGTGTGGTTCACCTTTTAAGGAGCACAGATAATAAAGTCAGTGAAAGGGATTTTTGTAAATTCCCAGTCGCTGTGTTTTAATGTACCCGTAACAGGAAATAAACTCTTCGGGAAGGCTCTGAGGTCTAATTGATGGCAAATCATTTTACACCTTCTCTAATTGTTTTTTTAAACCCTTCAGTGCAGGTTTTTTTTCTTTCAAATATATGACGCAATTATATTTGAGCTGAAAGGAAACCATTATTTATTAACATTAAACTTCCATTTAAAAGTTCCCATTCATAAAGGCCACAACAGCCACCACTCATACAACACTTATAAAGCAGATGCACTGTAGCTTTTATTAAACTAGTAACATGTAAGCCCAAAATTGCCACCTTGCTGATCACAATCTTGTACTGCTTAATGTCATCTGGTGAACAATATTTGGCGTGCCGACAGCAGCGGGCATTTCGTGAGACATTTTTGTAAACCTCTCCAGGTCTCTGTAGCCAATCAGAATTCAACACCGTGGGTAGCGCGCACACACACACACACACACACACACACACACACACACACACACACACACACACACACACACACACACACACACACACAAACTGTGGTCCAGGTGGGACACATGTCGGCACAGAAACAGCTCACAGCGCTCTTGAGATTAGATTTTTTATCACCACGTGGGATTGAAGTAGTACGTGATGCTCTCCAAGGGAAGCTCCTCTGTAGCAGGTGAAATTAAATAACCGGTCTGTAAATGCTGGTGTTTTTTGAAGAAGTGTCATTAAATAGAGCAAAAAGCTACTTATGAGAATAAATATTATGTTGGGCTTTATATTTGTTACTATCCGAGAAGTGACGTGCTTCTCCAAAAGAACCAATTCAGTTACCTATTTTCAGAGCGAGAACTAACGATAAAAGAATATCCCACAGAGTTTGTTTAGCTGTTTGCTCCTCAGGCTTTTTCCAGTTGCTTTTGTTTATTTTCTTTCCCCATTTGGGTTCCTGCGTAATG